ATCGCGTGCCACTTGCCATTAATAAAACACACTTTCACCTCGGCCATCTCTCCATTTCGCGCTTTTTTTCTTACTTTTGAGTGCACTGATAAACCAAAAAATTTCCTAATTTTAATTTCAAGAATGGCACAAACGGCTATGCTTTCATGGTATCGATTTACAGCGGAGGAATCAGTGAATACGATGGTAAATTCAACGAGAATAGATGGGAAGGTGGGCAAGGATAATTTCGATTGAAGGGTATTTCATTTGCTGTATTCAAATTCATGGTGGATGCTCAGGTACAATATCTCCGACACGGATAGGCACAATCTAGTTATTGTAGGTATACAGTTTGGTCCACTTTTATAATCAATTGGCTTGAGGATCATATTACACTCATCATGACCTCTTCTTTATGCTCCATCCCCTCCTATCGTTGTATTGCTGCCATGATGAAAATAGATATCATCATCCTTTTCTTGTATCCTTCCCTGTTAAAAAGCAGGTGTCCTTATTCTACTTTCAGCTTGCATCATTATGTATGCCATACGATTTCCATTGTATCATTTTATCTAAGCACTCATCAAGTACAACGTATGTAAAAGAAAGCTATCGGTGAACTACTTGGCTATTGCGGCTATGTTAATAGCACAGGGTGCAGCTACAGGATGCATGGTATTGCTTGACAAGCTCGTGTTGGGTTTGAAGGGTAGCCACGGGTGTTGGTAGTTGCAGGCATACTCGTAACCATGTCCCTCGGATATGATGATTCGTGTTGTTGTCCATGTCGTATTCAAGTGTGCCCATGTCGCAGGCTCATTGCTCTGTAGTTTCTAGGCAATAGGCATTTCGTTGTAGCATAAAATAAATGGGCGTTCTTCAATCAAGGCGTGTGCTGTTTGCAAAGCGAGACTCGTAAGGCAGTATGTTATTGTTGCTAATGGACGCATTGTGGAAGCTGATTCAAGAAGCATGTCAAAAGGCGTAACAAGCGTGATCAATGGCTGGCTCCTTTTTGCATGATCTCGCGCACACCAACCCAGCATGATGATACAATACAATTCCACAACGATATATCCTTTATTCAATATCAAAATGTTGTTTTACAATGAAGGGAGTCAACTTGTTTACTCTTCGCGTACAATCACTTTCTTTTTCTTTTCGACCTTCACAACTTCAATGTCACCAGAGACTTCATGGCGCTCAACATGCTTGTGAACTAGATAGATAGCAAGAGAATTAGTAAAAAGTCATATAATAAATAATAGCTTGACGACTTACCCTCTGCACCAGATGAAGACTTGCTTGATCCGCCATGCTGCTCCTTCTTTTCAACCTTTGTCTTTTGAGACTTCTTGGCTGCTTGAGATGACTTTTTGCCCTAGTGAAAAAGAACATGAATGAGAATGCATGTAAAGATGAATAATGCACCTGTATACTTACGCTATCAGAACCAGAGTCAGAGTCAGAGCCAGAGCCAGAATCAGAACCAGAGTCTGAACCAGAGTCAGAGCCGGAACCAGAGCCGGAATCAGAGCCGGAATCAGAACCAGAGCCAGAACCAGAATCAGAGCCAGAGTCAGAGCCGGAATCAGAGTCAGAGCCAGAATCACTCTCCTAATTCAAAAGAATAAGTATACACGCTTTATGCAATTGCAAATGATCATCATCTTACCGATCCAGAAGACGAGCCACTGCTGCTGGATGATCCCGAGTCAGACTTGGAGGTCTTTTTGGGCTTGCTCTTGGCCTATAGTTATTGCATTAGCAATCTGCCACAATGACAAGAACGATAATAAACTACTTACAGCTGATTTCTTCTTGCCAACTTGAAGATGAACGGACTTGTCACAGCGTTCCAAAGCGGTCTTGATTTGCACAATGATAGCTTCGACAGAGGCATTCAATTGTTGAGAGATAACCTTCTTGTCCTTGTTGTGAGCGGCAATAAGCTGACCAGCAACAGCTTCAATTTGGACGAGTCCTTGAGCAACCAAATCCTTGACCCAAGTGATAGTCTCAATCAAACTTTGACGGCCCTTGACCTTCTTGATGGCAACCGAAAGCTCACTTTCAATGGACTTTTTGGCCTTGGCAACGAGCTTGCTAATCTCACTTGAGGAGCTGCCCTTGACAACGCAAACAGTAATCTTCTCAATGACGGTGGTGAAGCACACGTGGATGCGAGTGATAGTGTACTCGGTGATCTCCATAGTACCAGAAGCCGATTTGCTGCCAGTCTTTTTGGTGCCAGATGAAGCCGATTTGCTGCCACTACCACAAGACTTCTTTTTGGTATCTTGCTTCTTCTTGCCGCATGATGAAGAATCCTTCTTTTTCTTTTCAGTGGATTTCTTGCATTCCTTGTGCTCAACAACCTTGCTGGCTTCAGACTGGTCAACGTCAATCTTGATGGATGAGAAGCGTTCCAAAGCGGTCTTGATTTGTACAAGGATAGCCTCAACATGGGTGGTCATTTGCTCATAGATAACATCCTTGTCCTTGCTGTGTGCAGCCACTGCTTGAACAGCCATAGCCTCAATTTGAATAATGGCTTGCTCAATCATACCCTTGGCCCAGGTGATGAGATCGATAAGCTGTTGCTTCTCGCCATGACCACAATGCTTGACCTTGGTGATAATCACTTCCAATGAACCTTCGAGCGTCTTGCGAAGCTTGGCCACAAGCGACTTGACATCACTCTCAGACTTGCCCTTGACAATGTAGACACACATCTCTTCAATGATGGTGGTGAAGCAATAACGGATATGGGTCACAGTGTACTCGGTCACTTCAACAGTGACAACGCTCTTGGATGATCCATGGCTCTTCTCTTCCTTCTCCTCATGCTTGGCACCAGCACCACTACCTTCACCAGTATGGATCTTGAAGGATGCACCACAACGCTCAAAGGCAGTTTGGATTTGAACAATGATAGCATCAACATGAGCAATCATTTGATCATAGATCACCTTCTTGTCCTTGGAGTGAGCAGCAACAAATTGGACAGCCATGGCTTCGATGGTGACAATGCATTGCTCAATCATGCCCTTGGCCCAGTTGATGGTATCAATCACAGCCTGAGATCCCTTGACATCCTTGCTCTTGGTGATGATGATAGCAAGTTCACTTTCCAAAGTCTTCTTGAGCTTGGCAACCAATTCCTTGACATCATGCTCAGACTTGCCATTGACAATGTGGACGCAAATCTCCTCAATGATAGTGGTGAAGTGATAACGAATACGAGTGATGGTGTACTCGGTCACTTCAATCTCCACAAGATGCTTGGAAGAGGAAGAGGTGGACTTGTCCTTGTGATCATCCGATGGCTTTTTGTCCTTGGACTCCTTTTCCTTCTTGACACATTCCTTGCTCTCATGGACCTCTTCTTTACCAGTATGGATCTTGAACGAGGCACCACAACGCTCAAAGGCAGTCTCGATTTGAACAATAACAGCGTCGACATGAGCAATCATTTGATCATAGATCACCTTCTTGTCCTTGGAGTGAGCAGCAACAAATTGGACAGCCATAGCCTCAATGGTGACAATGCATTGCTCAATCATGCCCTTGGCCCAGTTGATAGTGTCAATAACAGCTTGAGATCCCTTAGCATCCTTGCTCTTGGTGATGATGATGGCAAGTTCACTTTCCAAAGTCTTCTTGAGCTTGGCAACCAATTCCTTGACATCATGCTCAGACTTGCCATTGACAATGTGGACACAAATCTCCTCAATGATGGTGGTAAAGTGATAACGAATACGAGTGATGGTATACTCGGTCACTTCGATCTCCACAAGATGTTTGGAAGAGGAAGAGGTGGACTTGTCTTGATGCTTCTCATCACTGACTTGCTTGTGACACTTTTCAAATTCAGTGTGGATCTTGGTCTTGGTGGATTCAATGATCTCAGTGACACTTTGCTTGGTGGATTCAGTGATCTTAGTGCTGGAAGTAATGGCCTTGACATAGATGGTCTGGATCTGGATGGTGATCTCAGTGATCAAGGTGATGGCCCAAGTGATGGTGGACACAAGCTGCTTCTTTTCTTGTTCGCTCTTGCACTTGACATTGTGCTCAGCTTGGCTGCAAATGTGCTTGAGCTCTTCCTTGATGGATGAAGTGGCCTTGGACACGATCGTCTCAATGCTTTCAGCAGTCTTGGCATGGCCCTTTTCGATCGACACACGCACTTCTTCAACGAGTTCCTCCAAGCGTGTGGTGATTGTAGTCTTGACATGCTCCACAACCACAACAACAGTGCCAGTCTTGACAATATCATGAGAGATCTCTTGATGGTGTTGATGGTATTCGGTGTGCTCTTGCTCATGCTTTTCCTCATGATGCTCAGGTTGAGGCTTCTTCTTTTCCTCATGGTGCTCTTCCTGATGAGGCTTCTCAACGGGCTTGTGTTCGACATGTCCACCACCTTGGCTATCGTTCTTGTGCTTCTCATGATGCACGATAGCGGCAACAGCTCCAGCTCCAACGGCAACAGCGGCACCAGCAGCAATAGCAGAACCAATGGAAGAATGGTGCTTCTTTTCCTCTGGCTTGTGATCAGGCGACTCCTTGGTAGGTTGCTTATGAGGATGGTCAACAACCTTATGCTCATTCTTCTTGGCAGATTCCAATTGTACAGTCACTTGTTTCTTGAATGCCTCGACGACCATGTCAACACGCTCAGTCACATTGGAGACTTGTTCAACCAAGGTAGTCTGCTTAATCTCATGGTAACGCTCCATTGTCGTGATACGGAGCAAGTCATAGACCTCCTTGTAGTACACGCGATTCTCAATGCTGGAAGAGTCCATCTTGGTCTTGGTCTTCTCAAAGGTGACAGAAAGTTCTTGCTCAAAGGTGATGAACAGCTGCTCAGTCTCTTGACGAGAGGATTGCTTGGATGCAATATGGCCCTTCAATTCGGAGAACTTTTGAGTGAGGCTCGAGGATAATTCTGTAAAAGATAAAAAGTAAATAAATTGCATATTCATGGTTGGGGATGTATAAATGTACCTTCAATAATAGTAATGGCATGAGATTCCTTAGTAGTCTTGTGCTCAACCTTGGACGAAGAAGAAGAAGAGGAAGAACCACCTTGGACCTTGTGGACGACATGATCAATCTTGCCAACCAAGTGCAAACCAGCCACTGAACCAAATGCGAGCTCAAGATACTTGTGAACCGATTCATGCGAGATCTCCTCAACATCAACGCACTTTTTGAAGCGAACAATGGAAGCGAGAATGGTGGTGCGAATGGTCTCAATGCTGTATTCGAATTGGCGACGCGTAGCAGCTGAGAGATGAGAAGATTGTTGATGGATAGCGTGCTTGGTTTGCTCAATGAGCTCATCAAGGTCGACTTGAGCAGCATCAATGATAACGAGAACATCTTCCTTGGCGACCTTTGTGGTGCTGGTGTAGGTAGCGGTGATCTCTTCAACCAACTTTTTGTACCAAACGGTGATCTCAGTCTTGGTCTCAGTGAGCTTGGACGAAACGAGATGAACAGCAGCTTGCTCTTGAACAACTTCAGTGGTGGCACCCTTGTCATCATCATGTTGATTCTCCTTTTCATGTTGCTGTTGAATCTTGTGTTGGCAAGTATCAAGCTCAGTGGAAAGCTTCTCTTCGGTTTGAGAGATCCAAGAAGAGAAACGTTCTTCAGAGGTATAAATCTTTTCAGTGGTGACAACCTTCAACTCTTGTTGAACCACAGACTCGATACGATCGAATGAAGCAATGACGGATTGTTGAGTGCCACCTTGAATGACTTGCCAAGACTTGGATTCCTTGATCGAAGTGCGGGATTGTTCAATCTCAGTCTTAAGCTGAGTATGGGCTTCTTGCATAATGGTGTCAATCTCTTGCTCAGAAGCTCCCTTGTTGCGTGCCTCGGTGATCTTGTGCTGCACACTCTTGAGCCAGTAGCGATAGGTGACATGGATACTAGCAACAGCAACCAATACAGCTTCCTTGGCAGTGTGGGTATCAACAACTTGCTCTTCCTCCTCCTTCTTGGTGTTCTTGTTGACATGCGACTCGATCTCGGTGCAAGTATGATCCATCAAAGACTTGATCTCGTCCATGGAAACGGTGTCAGAGGATGATTCATTGACCTTGGAGATGACTTGGTCAAACAACTGGGTACGCATAGTCTCCTTGACACTCGTGATGGATGAGGACCATTCTTCATGCGATGACGACGAAACACGCTTGCTGTGCTTTTCAAGGCGTTGCTCAAGATCGGCACGGCTTTGCTCCACAACGGCCTTCACCTCTTCCTTGGTCTTGCATTGCTGAATGCGTTGGGTAAATGTCACACGCCATGCACGCACAATGGTAAGAATGACAGTGGTAGTGGCGGTTGCTTTGAGGTATGAAACAGTGTTGGACGACTTGTTCTCATGCACAGCAGTAGCAGCATGTACCTCATGGGGGGCATCGGTGACAGCTTCATGACGCTCTTCAATGGCGACGCAATGGTCAGTACATTGGTGGTGCTTGTGGTCATCAGTAGCGGGTTGCTGAGTGGTAGTAGTTGTAGTGGAAGAAGAAGTATCGGTAGTGGAGGTGGTCTTCTCAACAACAGCCTTGCCAAACGACCAGCGGAACCAATCGTGGGATTCAAGACTAGACACTTGCTTGCCTGATTCAACTGAAGTGGTGGAACGCACCTCGTGAAGACCAATCACTGCACCTGAAGTGGATGCTTCTTTTTCGCTTGCAACACCAATGACCATGCATTCATTCGAGCGCAAATGGATTTCACACGAAGGCGTCAATGCCCATGCTTGGGTATTCTTCGATTCGGATGACTTTGTGCGTACATGCAATTGCTTGGTATCAGCACCATCCAAGACAAGACCAGTTTCGACATGTACGAGAACACTCTCCTCTTGCTCGTAACGCCACAATTGGGATTGAATGTTTTCGAAATCCAATGGACGAAGGCTCACAGCATGGGTTTCCTTGTCAACGGACAATGTCAACTTCTCAGCACCAGCATTGATACGGATCAAAAGTTCGCCTTCAGGGAAGATGCCCCATCTACGAACAATAGTCTGCTTCTTGACAACAGGCAATGCAATCGAGAATCTTTGCGACTCCACAGAGGCCTTTTTCTGAACATGAATGTACGACACGCCACCTTGTTCTTTGACGCCAAGGACCCAGGAAGCATCCTTCTTGAGATAGATTTCATTGCTCTCAGAAAGACCCCATACTTGCTTCTCGCATGCATCACGACGAGAGGTTTGGCACACGTGGGCATGTTCTTCCAATTGCTCAGCACCCAATACAAGACCACTACGCTTGTTGACAAGGTGACCGGTGCTAGCTTCATACGTCCACAATTGGTACTCGTATTCTTCCTCAGTTTGACGCAATGCACCAACAACGACACGACCCCCTTCTTGGTTTGCATCCACACCCATGAACAATCCCTCGCCTTGTTGTGCCTTGAGCAAAAAGGGTGTGCTAGGGAATGTGCCCACAGGGAGACTGAAGCTTTGTTGATCCTTTTGTTGGCTCACGGCTATTATTATTATCGACAATCAGTACCAACGACAAGAGAATAAAAGTATACACGGCATCGATATTTACCTCGCTGTTCATCATTATCATCATCATTATTGTTCGAGCTCTTTTTGATCTCATGGGTCTCGTGAGTGGTGGTGGTCTTGATCACAGGTACAACAAATGTCCATTGCTGCTCTTTGCCAGGCTTGTCAGCACTCTGCAAATGTGCACGAAGACCTTCACGTCGGGAGAAAAAGGATTCCTTAATGCCGAGAACAAGCGACTTGTCATTCTTGAGGCAAATACGACCATCCTCGGTAAGAGAGAATTGTTGGTGGACCTCCTTTTCAGCTGTGGTGCTGCTTTGCACAATCTCAGTACCAGTCTTGGCATTGCCTAGTTTCAAAGCGTGTAAGGGGATGGGACAAGATCATCATCATCATCATCATCATCGAGAAGATGCTTACCTTGGTGGACCTCCATGGAAAAACCAGTTTGCTTGTTGACAAGAAGTCCCTTTTCATTGTAACGCCATAATTGGCTATCAGGGCTGGTGGTATTGAGAGATGAAATGACAACGTGCGATCCCTCGCTTTCTTGTGATGCGGTCAATACATAGCCGTTTTGATGCTTGATAAAGAACCAGCCTAGATAGAATACAGCTCTTGTCAATACACTACTCGTCAAACATCCATCACATGATCCTTACTTTCAGGAAAAGCTTGCTGTGTGGACATGGTGTGGTATCTTGTTGTTGGGTAGAGAAAAAGAAGAAGAAGGGTATATCAAGAAAGAAAAGAGAGGTGGAAAACAAACACGTCGTGTGAGATGGGTGGTGTATAAAACGGTTGTTGCATGCTCGGAAAACTAACAGCATATGTTAGAGACCAAGGATCTCGTACGCGTACCTCAAAGTAGCACAATGCTCTGCAACCCAAGCATTTGTCTCGTTGCAACCATGCAATGCCGTGTTACACACACACCCGATGTTGGGCTTGTGTATCCTTATATGCCGTGACACCAACTCGCCATGACAAGTTCCAGCAACGCATTCTTTTTTCGCTAAAGCAGCCGTCAGCTCGATACCATACAATGATAATGGGGCAATGAGCCATGTCATAAAGGTAAGCATTCACGTACGATAACCAACATGCACATAACAACAAGCACAGAGACGCGTGTTGCTCATGCAGCATCATGGAGCGAGGAGGCGTTCTTTCATGATAAGCTCAAAGATGATACTGCTAACCTTTGGTTCATGTTTCGGAGGACTCCACGTTCCTGGATACGTCCAACTTTCCTTTCCTGAATCATCTCCATCATGTCATCTTCCATGCATACATTCTTCTTCATATAACGCGTACATCAGCGCACAACATAATGTCGCATAAAAACATGCACCCTGAATAATCCAATAGCAACTACGCTACGACATTCATCCATCTCATTTTCGATAATGACGATCTCTGGGAAATAAAAGTTGGCAGCACTGCTGATTATTTGTTTGTATGTATGTGGATTTGCAGACGGGTGCACGCCCATTTGGCAAATGTTTGATTTTTCATGCATGTTCGATGGCGGTTTATAATAAAAGCACCAATGATAGTAAGATGACCTTACATCAGAGCAGTAGTGGTGTAAACAATCAACAACATTGCTGTTGCACGGCCATTGGCACAAGGGAACAACAACATGCCATGTATTCCAATAAGCATAACCCTCCATCTTTTGCTGTTCCAGACCCCCACAATACAATGGCCCGGCAAAACGCGTCAAATGCTAAGAATTATTACGCTCGCTTCGTATGTGTGTCGTTTCACTGCAGCAACTGCGTACAAGAATTTAAGGGTCTGACACATGAGACGACCATTTTGCTGCTGCTATCACCTACCTGAGCCTATATACGTGGTATGTTTGTGGCAGAAGGGCATTGATCCGTGTTCCGAGGAACCCATCCAATGGGTAAAGATGCATATAAATAGTATACTATGCCGCCGTACGGAAGGGTTCCCGGTAAGTGAGTGAGAGCCAGATCCAATTTCGACCCAAACCATCATCTTACGATTAATTTGTGGAAATTTATGCACACCTCATTCTTGGCGTATACTCAATTCCAGAACAATTCGCTTTCTACAAGGGATCTCAGCTATTGCCATGGGTGTTGTCGTGTCTATATGCCCACGGTGGCAAGTAGTAGGATGTTCCCATCAGCTGCAATCAAAGCTTAAGGGGGTCTTTGTGTTACCCATAGTTCGAGCTCCACTCGTCATTTGCACTTGACATTTGCATAGCTGGTAAAGTAAAAGAGGATGTGTGTGTACGAGCAGCAGTTATTTTGTTTCAGGCATATACCAAGCGTGCTGCTTACATGCATGAGCATGGCTAAGAACGTTTTATGCTTTTACTTTGTGCCACAGCCGAGTTTTACAACTTGCACACCCAATGTTTAAGCATGCACGAGTCAATGGTTTTTCTTGATGGAAAGCACGTTCCTTATTTTTATCCTGCCAAACCACCGAGTTGTGATAAAAAATGTAATAGCGAGAGAAAGGCAATGTAAAACGAATAGCTTGTGCTGCTGTGTCTGGCATTTTGTGATGCCACATGATGGGCGGAAGCAGCTCTGAGCAGGAAAAATGATCGTCTGTGTGCAACCTAATAGAGAAAAGCGCATGCGGCACAAGAGATGCAGCTGTAATGTGACATGTATATAAGCTTTAACGTTGAGTGGCTACATCCATCTCGCTTGAGAAAAAAGGAGCTCGTTTATGTTTGGAATGTAGCAAATAGTGTATTTTGCATTGTAGGTGATCACAAGGCTACTACTGTATATCCCAAACAATGCACGTCTTTTATGTACAAAGTGGTAAAGACGTTTGGGGCGTATGATGTCCATCTTTCATTTTGTACTGCTGAGCATCCATGATAGTGCTCAATACTTGTAATCACCTCGAGATGATCCACGTGACGAGAAGCGCTATATGAAATGAGAGTTGTTGTAGCTCATAGCATCATTGGATGGATTTGAAAGCGTTTGCATAATGGTAGTGTGCCGCAACCAACATGGCACCTTCCCGAGAAACGTGCTCTTGACCATCACATTGCTTCCTGAGTGGGTATCATGATGATCAATGAACCAAGGAGATCGACTTGGTTAACATGCTATGCAATTTAATGATAATCACACACCATAATTTGCTTAAACAAGATGCGGGGTCCATATATCAGGGATCAAGACAATACCTCAAAAGTCCAAGAAAGAGGAGGACGCTGTCCAAATGGATACTACCCAACTATTGCTAGTAGTAGTAGCTTCCATCAAGCCGAGTGAAGCAACCATGCTAATCGTTGACGTGGCTTGTGCTTGTGTCTACAACAGGTGATAATGTAGAAGGTCTCATGGCACGTGAATGCACGCGTTAATAAGGAGCAACATCGTTTTCATGATTGAAGCATATAGGGATGGCTGGTTGCTATGTGCAACGCAGGTTGCTAAGAATATGCAATTGGGGTATTTAGGATCACAATTTATTGTCTATACAATCTAAGATGCATCATTGTGGAGCTGTTCTCGACAAACGTACAAGAAGACTGAAGAAGGCATCTCCTTGATCGTGATAGCGCGGGATGAAATTTACCCGTTTAGGCAACCAATTTTCCTTTTCAGTGCAATTGGAGAAGCACAATATAGATGCACAATCAAGGGCACATACAAAAGATCCAGATCATATGCTATTTCTTGGCAAAGGGATCACCAGTTTACTTTATGTCGTTTCCATGGTAATAGGGTTGCCTGGCAATGATTTCATTTTTAGAATGACAAGCAAAGAAGGTAGTACATGTGGTGCCGAGGCGCTGTTTTATTATTATACCTTTTCTGTGGGCCAAGACAAGGCGCAAGGAAATGGACAAAAGTCACCGACATCATGCATGAAGAAGGAGATGTGAGTCACAGGCAGGTATACGCAAATAAGGTATGATGATAACTTGATCCACAGAACCTGATCAGAGAAAGAACAACACCCACCAGGGACACGATCTTTTCCTCCTTCTTTGTGACGTGGCTTCTTATTCATATCAAGAATAGATAGCTCCTCAATTACGGGGATAATAAGGGCGTGATCCAACAATGCATTGAATGAGCAGCAGCCATAACCCTATTTAGTGTAAAGAGGCGTCAATGGCGCCGCCATGCATGAATCGATGGAAGTTTCGATTCTCGGCATTCCTTTGTATCATGTTTGTAACAATGTATACGTTAAGCATACGTACGCAGCCACAAAACGACGACTACTTTAACAAGGAGCAACAAGAAGGGGTTGCCAAGCCTGATATTCTTAACAACATTGGCATCAGGGAAAATTTCAGGCTACGCAAAATTGCGCGGTTTGATATCAAAATGTGTAACACAGCATAATTACTGCTCTCTCTGCTTTTCTCAGCATATGCATAGCAAGGTCATGGGATATAGAATGTACGATATCAGCATGCAGCTGAGATTTATATTGATGGCTGGTGGTAAAATAATGTTGAATGACAAACTTTTGGTATATACAAATGGTAAAAAAGTATGTGGGTGGTAATGTAGGGTAATAAAAGAGTAATTAATAGCAAGATGCTGGAGATACGGGGGATAAGTGAAAGTTATAGTGATCATCATCGGATCGGCACGTGGATGTATTGTTGTAATGTGTAAGAAAGCGGGGAGATGTACCGAGGATGGCACCCGTGTCAATGCACAATTTGGGTCTGAGATGATGAGGCTGTTTTTGCCAATGTTGCTTTTTGCTATTGTTATGGCTATCGCCGCTGCATTGTGGTTTGACGATCACTTGATGACCCAACGATGGTGTACGACGGCAAGCATTGGGTATCCCTGATAGATCAAGCGGAGCGATCATTGGTCGCTTGTTGCTAGGTGCTGGTCGATGGGTAAGGGGTCGTTTTGGTTTGGTGGGTGATGATGATGATGTTTTTTCTCTTGCAGTGGATGAAGATGTAGGTGCTGAATGCGGCCTTGACAAGAGGAAAAACATGTCCCCTGATGTACGATCATATTCAGCATCGCTGTATGTGAGGTGCACGGTATCCAAATCAGCACTGAATCGAACAGACTTTTTCATGGTGGGTAAAGATGTGGTATCGTGTACTTAAATAATTGAGTGGAGAAAAGAAGGAAAGTAGCAAGCTTTACCGTCTTTATATATCTACCATTCTTTGTTCTCCAAACTCATGTTTCTATTTATAGCTTTCCAAATCAATGCTCTAAAAATATGCGCCACGGTGGCGCATGAATTTCCAAGTACGTGGCTCCCCTCATTCATCCCGTTCCATCCGCCCGTTCCTGAACGATCGCTCATTTCAACAACACATCGATGTACCGGAATCCATCCACACCATTTCTTTTTTTCCAGATCAGCATCATGCACCACAATCTACATGATAAAAGTAGCGCTAATGATGTTCAACAAGCTTTATTGGTGCATTTTCCATGACCGTTTTCTATGATGGCTAATGATAATCACTACTTTCAATCCGTGCTTTACGCCACTTTGAGCCAAAAATAAGTAGCGTTGGGAGCAAAACACCACTTTTGATAACTAGAATCAAGCCAAGCGTTGTATACATCCATCCAACACCTATCCCTTGGATTCCAGGTTCAATGACCGCCGATGCTGCTGCACTACATCATAATGCCATCGTGAGCATGCAATGACGTGGATGGTATAGGTGTATGTTCTCCTCTACAAAATGCTCCTTTTTTGTGTGAAGCTCCTCTCATACCATCACACACTCCCCTTTTTTCCCACTCTGACATACATAAATTCATCATGCACATCTTTTTGTGTCCCTTGCATTTGCGACTTACCCCAACAGACAACGAGATAAATTGTTGGATGCCGTAATCGATGCCCCTTTGCCAGGATTCAGGTCTATCATCAGCGTTTGCATTGCATTACTAGTACCGGTAACGCATATACCAACTAGGAATGTCGTTATATACAGCTGCTTCTTATACACAATCTTTCCCACATTAACTTACAAAGAAGTTGCAAAATCAAAGGCACTGCAATATGAACATGCTGTTGTAGCACCCATCCATATGTAAGTGTCACGATAGATTCGACCACTGCGTAGATCCACAAGGTCTTTAGTCGACATTGAAAAAGTGGAAAATCACCAGGCAATGCAAAACGAGCTTGTTTGTTATTGGGCGGCTCCAATCCATACTTTTTCGCTGTTGCCTTAAATCGCTTATCCATAAGATGGCCATTTGAGAATGCGCCTACAACACAACCAACACCAAGGGGAATGTAGCACAACCCCACTTGAAGCTCGTTGAGACCGTAGATGGATGCATACAAATTTGGGATCGACACCATAATAGCATACATGACACCAGCAATAATCCCATAGTAGAATAAAATCATTGCTAGTTCCGGCTGAAGAAAGTAGAGCAAGGGGGCTAATAGGTTGGGTCGATTGCGATGATCCATATTGGGCTTTGCTTCGATCGATGGATTCGGTAAATCCCTCATGCGGCGATGATGCTGAAGCCACTGCAATGGTGTCGGGTTGGCGTATCCAGAGCCATTGCCTACCAGGATACGCAACGTCTCTGGTAAGAACAAGAGGATGGCAAGGAATAGGATCCCTGTGTAAAAGGTCATGATCCAGAACGTCCATCTTGGGAAAAAAATACATAACATCTGTGTCACAACAACAACAAGTAATCAAGCTAGAGACACAGCGTAATTACCTCCAATCGAGCTGTTCGGTCACAGCACCTCCAATAATGGGCGCAATGACAGGTCCTAAAAGTTGCATTGATGATACATAAGCACTCAAAGTGCCTCGCCTAAAGGCATGTATAATGAGCTCTTAGCAATAGTGTAATATGTCATTTAGCTTTTTGGCTTCTTACTCTGATGGTAATGCAATATCACTCATGACGCCAGATCCTGAAAATGATGAAAGGTAGCATGTTATTGTTGTTGTCATTGTGCATATGAAATCATGGTATACATACCCAAGGCAATAACAGAGCTTGATCCAAAAGCTTGAAGCATACGTAATACCAGCAATGATGCATAGTCGGGTGCAAGAGCACAACCCACACAAGTGCCTAAATACACAATCAGGGTCGACAAGTAGATTGGACGACGTCCCCAAGAATCAGAAAGCGAGCCCCACAAGGTTGGAGAAACTCCTTGAAACACCATGTAACATGTCACCGTGAGATTGATAAGCGTCGCTGTCGTGTTTAATTCCTTTTTTGGGTATAATAAAAGCAAGATTGCAATCAGCACAGCTCTTGTGATTATAGAGTGAACCTGACCTCTTGGATGGCATTCAATCCCGGGAGATAAATGCTTCCTGACATTGGAGATATCAAACCTGTCAATGAAACAAGGATGGAAATGGCCACCTTTTGCTTCCATGAATAGATTGAGAATGGCTGTTGTAGTTGCTGCTGATCATTCTTGTCTGCCATCGAAAGCTGCATCGTGTTTTCTCCGCTATTCACCTCCACCACACTTGCTCTTTCATTAGCTTCCATAGTGATAAAGAGAGCAGCGAAAAATACAATTCAAAGATGTTGCTGGTTGTGTGCATTTATGAAAGACAAAACGCCAAAGTTTACCCGCTATTGGAAAAAAGCAACGTAATGCCTTTTCAAATATGGTATCATGTGGCGCGATGCACAGATCCAATGTCACCGACTTTATCACACACATCTCTTTTTCCTATATACGCCTATCAATACCTTTTGAGTGCTAAGGGAGAGTCTCATTATTGTAACCCTGTGTGGATGATAAAGGCGCATGGATCATTGTTATCCCTACGTATAGCGCTTCTTTGTTGATTGCGTTCATTCTCTTATCATAATGAAATTTTGATTCTCTTCCTACTGGATCCTTTGTTGTCAATGTAGGGATTATGATTGTGCACCTTCATCTCAATTCGTCTATTGCTATGTCTTTGTTAGTGAACGCCAATATTGGTGGCATGAGCATGTTGGTCAAGGATAGTGAAATAGGCCCGACTCAAGCTCTAAGAAATTAGGCTGCGATAAGCAACAACAACTATATCCATGCAACCACCTGATCCTGCGACTTTTTGGAAGGAAAGCTGATACAATGAGCCGACAACCGCCTTATTGTTCCAGAACCTGGCTACATGAATCGGCCCAAATGGGGGGGCGTATACGACCATGTGATTTACAAGCGAGAAACCAAAAGACTAAAACACCCGTTTTGTTTAAAAGAGAGACCATCAGTGTGTATTCTATACCATTGGAGTATCGTATGTCAAAAAGTACTAGTAAGGGGGAGGAGTGGGGGAAGTGTAAATAATACAAGGCATGATGGCAATAGTAGAAGTAGTAGTAATAATGGGGTAGCACTAGGTAGCCATGCTGCTGTTATATGGATTCAAGGAATGAAGAAGCTGCCACGCAAAAGATACCCAAAAAGAAGAAAGGGAGCACTTGTTTATGTTTCGTATCGGCTTTGATGGCTTGGGGAAGCATGCTCTGCATTGAAAAAGTAAGTACACTGATAACAATCCTATTCTATTATTATTGGCTTACCTGAACAGTGATCAAGGTCATCATGCCACTGACCAAAGAAAACACCATACCAAACATCAGGTTTTCTTGAGACTTGTCAATGCTCTGAAGTAGGAAATAACCAATTATTGCGCCAAGGGGTTGTGATAGACCACCAAGCAATGAAGCCCATCCAAATGCCGCGGTTCTTGAACGGAGAGCAAAATAAAGGGGAAGTGCAATCATGAAGCCTTCAGTTAGGTTGTGAATCGACATGGCTGCTGCTACGCTCCATCCAAGGCTTGAAGATGCTTGATTGGAAACAAACATGATAAGGCCCTCTATTTGATGTTTATTTGTATTAGTAATGCAGCCATTTTCTACAACAATATTGGTTGTTGTTTACCTGGAAATTTATGTACACCAATAGCAACCGCTGTCTGGATACCAATGCGAAGGAAACTATGCGAATCCTCTGATGAATCATCGTGATCATCATGATGATGGTTATCGTTGTCATGGTGATGGCCGTTGTCATGATGATGGTGATGATGATGATGTTGTTGTCCTCCTCTTGTTGCCAGTGAATGGATCCGAAAGTGCGCTTCACTAAATGGTGCTACACCCTTCGTAGTGGTTGTTCCATATTGTGTAGAACCTTGAGCAGAAACAGGGTGGTGCTTGATGCTATGTCGTTCGGTATAGGCTATCGTCCTACTGCCAGCTGACGTATGACCATCTTCTTCATCATGATTGCTTGTTGTAGAACTTGAGGAAGACGAGCTACAATGACCAGATTCTTCATCTCGCCGTTGATCCATGCTTGGAGAACCACCACATGCATGTACGGCACCAGGTGTACACCAGTGAATGATACGAGTCAAGATAAGCGTGAACAATGCTCCACCAAAGAAACCAACATACACCAGATAGCTATCATCCAGTCGTTCAACAGCTTCTGGTAATAGTACCGCCAACGATGAGTAAAGGAGAACGCCTGATGCTAACGCCATGGATGCTGCAAGGAAGGATTGGTTTTCGAGTATAGACTTTTGGGGCCATAGTGTATCGATGAATACAACGGATGCTATAGACAACAACACAAGAAGGTGTGAGCAAGAAAGGATACTCAACGATCGTTCCACGATTTACCTCCAATGACACAAGCAATAGATGAGATGAGGACTAGCAATGAGCCTTGTAAATGTTGAGAGCTGATGGTCATCGTGGACGGGGGTATGTTGATAAGGGAAGAAAAAAGAAAAGGAAAATGGTGGATGGGCGTAACCGCTAAGGTACATATTCTCTCAACCAATCATGCCGCTTTAAGGAGGTTACAAACGCGGGGTGCGAGCCTGTATTAAGATTAAACCCTTGCTCAGTTCAATACCATATTCTATCTTCGTCTCCATTATATCCCATCTTCAAAACGTCACTGATGGATATAGCTATCCTCCAAAGCATAATCATCCAGCCTTGTTTTTAAGACAAGAGCCATCTCCCTAGTTCAAATCATTGTCTCACTTTTGAATGATGTACAAGATCCTGCCATATGCAATTGCATGTTCAAGAATAGCTGCATAGTTTGAATGTATTAAAGATTAGTTTCTATTTCAAAATCTTCAGGTTACGTATGGCGCAAAGAATCTCGGATAGCGGCTGATGGTTGCCATGATACGATGTGCATGAATTTGCGAGAGCTGAGTTTCACCTCTTCAGTAACCCCACACATTCCCCCATTGCTCACGGCCATTTTCACACATGCAAAATCAATGATATTTTATGACAATAATGAATATGAATGTATCTAATTTGCCTTTGTCTTCTTGTTCTGATGCTTGTCTTCTCCTTCTGGGGACACAGAATCATGCTTACGCTTTTTGGTATCCTTTTCCTTCTTATCCCCATTCTTTTCGTTCCGCTTTTTCCTGTCATCGTGTCGAACATTAAAACCTTGATGCTGCAAATGCTTCTGGAGCTCTCGTAACTTCCGTTTCTTGTTCTTCTTGAACATCCTTTTTTCATATTGTTTCTTTTGCTCGTTGCGATATCTATCATCCAAATTCAATAAGCATTCAATCACAACAAGACAAGTTAATTTAGGACTTACGGTGCCATTGTCTTGAGACCAACGTATTTGTTCAGTTCTTTGTCATCAGCCAACAAAATTTCCATAGGTGACAGGCCATAGTCTTCAGCTTCAGTCTTTTGATACTTGAATCTGGTTGGCAAATCTCCACCGATAATGTCTTCAAAGTTCAATGAATAATACTGATCCAACAAATCATCGACTTCCTTCTTGAGCTCCTTTTTGCTGCTTGATGCTTGTTCAGCTGTATTATCCGATGTTGACTGATATTTGGCACCACCAGGGAGATAATCCGCATCCATCATAATATCCTCGTCATCATCGTAGTTGACATCATCCACACCTTCGATATCATCATCCCATGTAGGCTTCTCGGTATCTTCTTTGTTGTAATAGTCGTCATTGAACATTTCAGCCATCTGAGCGTCGTGCTTTTCAGGATCAAAATCAGCGTCAAGATCAACGTTCTCCAATCCCACAACTAAAAAAGCGATGATAAAGATCAGCGATCAGGTTGACTATAGGTTGATCCGCCCTATGATACTTACTATCAGTTCCTGTGATATCTTGGATTTCCTTGAGGCGATCCTTAATGTCCTTCAATTTCTTGTTTCGCTGACGAGCAAGCTCCTCCAACTTTTCCTTCTTCTTGGCTTCCTTCTTTGCCTTCTTACGCTCGCGCTCACGTTGGCGTTTGCTCTCCTTTCTTCGAACCGAGTCTTCGATATTACGTGGATGGGTAATGATATTGGCACCTCCCCTAATAATGTTGTCAGTAATGATACGCATATTACCGTAGTCTTTTGAACACTCACTCTTCTTCGAAGCGGAAGTTGTATTTACTCTCAAATCGATCCACTTCATCGAGATACTCTTCATCAGCGTCGATATCAACTTGTTCGCCATTATCATCTGCCTTGGGTTGCGACTTTCCAGTATCCATCCAACCACGGTTAAGGACAAAACTAAGAATAGAATGTCAACACACCTTGTCACCTTGATTACATTGATACTTACTCCATCAAGAACGCATCGTCCTCGTTCACCTTGGCATTTGCCTTCACGTCTGTCCATTCCTTAAATGCTTCGGAAGATGCTTTATCATTCTATTATGCCATTAGATCATCCATTCACACATCACTCACATTGTCATCTCTACTTACCGAGATATTGGCCAACAAGAAATTTCTGTACTCCTCTTCCTCAGCCTTGATCTCATCTTCGGTCTTTTCACGCTTTTGCAAAAAGCCATCCTCATTGTCATCATCCTCATCACTGCCTGCTGCCATTTTGAAAGCATTCTTGAGTTCATCTTGTTCTTCTTGATGCGTCTTGATCTTGGTCGATGTCTCGGTGGATTCATCATTGTCTTCAGGTACAACACCACCATATTCCACGTTGACTTCATCTTCGTAATCTCTGAGGGTGTACTTTTTCCTTTGTGCCTCACGCTCCTTTTGTTGCAACTTCTTTTGTGCCTCTTCAAACTGCTCATCGGTGAAGAACTTTTGATCCGAGTCGTAGACACGAGCATCCTTTGTGCGAATAGCGGCGATTGTCTTTAAGATCTGCGAGTCGACAGCTGGTGTCAGCAAGGTGGCTTCATCATCCTCAGCTCCATCATCGCTGCTTTCGTCGTCGTCGTCGCTCTCTTGGTCGTCAGAATCAGCTTCCGAGCTCGATCCTATTTCATGATACCGGATGATCAATAAACAGCATCCCATATACGTATACAAAAGCACAATTACCCTTGTCAGATTCCTCCACTATAGAAAATGCGAGAGATATGAGTTGATCATGTTGTATGTGGGTAGACTTGTGGTACACTTACAGATCGCAGGTCGTCGGTAATCGTCTTCCTCGTTTTCACGCTCACGAATATTGACAGCGATCGATTTACCACCTGCCATGACTTGGATCTGGAAGAATGCAGCTATGATTAGGCCTAGATCTTGAGTCTTTGCTATGTAGGAACTTACAAGGTGAAAGGGTTTTATATGTGCAGTAAAAGAAAAGAAGGTTAACCCAGCTGCCTTTTTCCTTTCTTGTCTTTTCGCTTTACTTCCAAAGTCACGACATTTCGACTCCCCACCTCATTGACATGTAGGCTTCAACACACGCATCTCTTGTAGCATTAGGCTCATTGGTACTGTAGGGCTGATTTCTGGGTGTCTGCACAAAAGCACTGGTGCAAGTATTGCAAAAAGTTTATTGCCAACAATAAGCCAGTAAGTGTGTTTCTACCCTTACAAAAGGATCCTCTCAAACGTTGTATGTGGTAGTCACTAGAGATACATAACAATGGCCGAGCACACAAGGAAGCAGTAGAACGATTCCTACGAGGAGTGTATAAGGATGGACAATTGAAGAAAGAGGAAGAAGAGGAAAAAATGCGGGAGCTGCAACGGATTGAAAAGGTAATTTAAAGTATCCATGCAACATGATCCTTGGTAACCAACCTTTGCAATTAGGCTGCCGTACAATCATTTATTCACAAAGGTGATCGTGGATCGCTATCGTCAACATCTTCAGTATCGGACTATTCACGTCGATCGAGGCAGTATCCAGTAGCAACGTCATCAGCCACACCCACACCTCCACCACCTACGCTTGAAGAGCTTCAAGGAAAGGCACCCGCCATCCCACAGAATTTACAAGGTCGAGATGAATGGGCGATACCAGCAGCTATAGCCGAACCTGGTCAATGGCAAACCATGTTACCTGCCGAGAAGAAATCTGACAACAAACCAGAAAAGAAGGATGCGACAGCAGCAACATCTCGTGATGTACCACCTGAATTCCAAGACGACGAACAGGAAGATGAAGAGGATCTACGTAATTTCAAAATACGAGAGAAAGAATATCCAGTGGATGCCTTAGTGGATGATGGCGATGACGACAAGAAGAAGGATACTGGTGGTGCTATGTTTAAGAAACGTAAACTTGGGAAGGAGGGAAGCAAAAGGAAGATTCGGCGAAAAACAGAGGATAATGATTAGTTGTTTCTCATTTCATTAAACATGTATCCTTGTGATGTCTTCATAAATATGCAAATGGGTGTCATTGTTTGATGATAATGAGTATTGTTACCTTGCCCCTTATGTCGGTTGTTGAGTTATGAACGAGCTTAGCTCTTTGCTACAACTTGTCCTTTGTAGATTGTATTTATTGCACGTCAAGCTAATGATAGATTTAGTTCCTACTGCATAACCTATGTTATTCAATGTTGCACTTCGTCGTCCCACACAACGCTCTTCTTGCTTTTGGTTTTGCTGTATTTGATAGGATTGCACTGTTGGCGTACGTGTGATTTCATATGATTGCGTTCCTGATATGGTGGTGGCTCCATATCAGATGTAACTTGGTAGCTGTGATAATTGCTTGATGCTTGTGATGATTGTCCCCAGTGTAGGGATCCTCCAAAGGCAATGCCTTTCATCCCATCCATGTGATTGCTCTGTGTGATATTCCTTGGTAAGACCATTTGCCGCCAAATGGGTTGATTCATGAATGGGTTGTCATCCGCATCGGCCCCACCCACCAATAAAAAGAAAAGAGAGCTCTTTAATAGCAATTCATAAATTGCAAGTTAACAGCTACTTCCTCCCATTCCCAACTGTTGCTCATTCCAATAGATGTGAACCATGCTCCTGCTCCAGAGATTTACTTGCATGATTTAACTTTCTAGATCCGAGCTGATTTGGTTGAGTTACGGTCAAAGAGAGAATACACCAGCCCATGCATCAAGCACCATCTATCTATCTCAACTGATGTAATCTTGTTTGAGCGTAGCTCACTCAAATCAACTCGGATCAAGGTAATCCAATCATGGACATGAATGTCTGGAGCAGGAGCATCGCTTCCATGCACTGGATCTGCCAACAGTGCTGATTGAGAGGAAATGGGTGTTAGCTGGCAATACATGGCTGTTCCCAGATCATCCATAAAGTAATCATACATCGACCCTTCCAATCCTGCAAAACAGCTGTGTTACACAAAGAAGTCCCTCTGCATCTTTGGCTGTATCCAGGTCTAGCTGATCGACAATGAACAAAGACCACTTCTCATATAGCATCACGCTTACAGCATAGTAAAAACATAAAGACGCCTGTATCTCCGAACTTTACAATGAAACGTGGGGTCTTTGATAGAGCAATGGGCTCGGCTTGGCCAACAGCACCTTGTGTGAAAGTTTCGCGTTCAATGTCGCAAACAGCCCAAAAAATATTTTTTGGTCGTCGTCGTCGAAGAGGTCGACCCCCAGATCCAGTTTGGCTGGTGGCGACATTGCGAAATCTGGGATTGGCAAGCTTGATCGTGAAACTTTCACACAAGGTGCTGTTGGCCAAGCCGAGCCCATTGCTCTATTCAAAACCCCACGTTTCATTGTAAAGAGTGGAGATACAAGTGCCTTTATGTTTTACCTATTCCGTAAGCGTGATGGAGTTGCTTTTTCCTAGTGGATGGTGTCGGCTGCATTAACGAAAAGATGAAGAGCTGAGTGAACGGCACGTGGTGGTTACACAGACACGCCGTTGACAGGTTGCTGCACAAATGGATGATGATGATGATTGCCTTTTGTGAAGGTACTTAAGTATGTAAACAGCATCCAATAATGAAGGTATGTATCAAGGTACGGGTATATGACATTTGCATGTAGGAGAAGGTCGAGCTGCATAAACCAATTTGTATTATGTATGTAAACCCACCAGCAACCAATCCAATGATGGGTCAATGCACGGATCGCTTCACTTTTTCTCTTCTCAAGGTCATACCATTCCTCCTTATTGTATCACAAACGCCATATACTTCTTCCATGACCTATACAACCGGGACCACCTTTATTATTCCATCTTCGAAGCAACAATAGTATGTAATCCACAAGCTAGAAAAGTCCAAGCGAGGTAATAAGTAAACAATGCTTTATTTCATCTAGCTATCTTGCTACATTGCCGCCATCGTGGTCTTCCTCGTCCATCAGATTCCTACTCGTACTCGTAGACTATGATCTTGTGAACCAGTAAGCTTTAGCGAATGCGGCAGTGTTATGTCAAAAGAAGGGAAGTATCTTGATACGATTATGTAAATGATCCAATCTCGTTTCCCGACCTTCATATATCTATGTATCCGCCTTCTAATGAGAAACCACCCAAGTGATCCACATCTTGTACGTAGGAGCTGATAGTACGACACCCTTATGAAAGTCAATCCAATTCCATCATTCAATGAAGTCGAAGAATAGCACATGGTAGTGTGGATGTTTATCGTGTAATATGATAAAAGAGCAGCATTGAATAATAAAGGGGTGCATCACATAGAGGGAGGAGGGATAATTGTGCCATCCTATTCGTGGTTGCTGCCGCCCTAATGATCCTTCATCCATGATTGCAAAGTAGCTTCTGCATGCATTGAATCGAGTACTTCAATACCATCCATGGCTGTACAACACCTTTTGTCAAAGATCTAGGCCCGTTCCTCAATTCCCATCCAATCCATCATCATCCTCAGCCGTATTCACGTGGTAAAATCCATCCTTCTTGCTGACAACCGTGCCAAATAACGAAAACCAGGTTCCAGGATTACCCATCACTGCGCTTGATTGCATTCATCCATCCATAGCCAATGCAACTCCAACATGTTGATTGAAAGAGCCATGTGATCGTTGTTGATATGCATCCTTTCCACCTATCGGTTGATCAATCTCTTGATTCGTAGCCGTTTTCCATCGCAACCCAATCAGGTGACGATATAAGTCATGTCGTATACTTCAAGATTGCTTGCATTGACGCGTACTTGAGAACACCAGTGGTTGTCATATATAGCATCCTCCTTCTCGACCATCGCGTTGTATGTTTTACTAAATGGTCCTTATTGTTAATCATCATTACTTGATCAATAAAGCCATCTATACTCTTATTACCTTGATAAATGAGTGAATGATAATACAAATCCCTCGTAATAGTGCGCTGCTGGATGATGACGCGTATATTAGGCGCATGAAGAGGTGATGATAATCACTGTATCCATGGCCGATTTGTGATAGATAAAGCTGATCAACCTGATGTAGCATCACCCAAGGAAGAAGTATCCTGGAACTAGTTGCTTGTTGTCACCAAGCTTGACAAAGAATTCGAGCTGTAGTCTCCTTGTTTGATCGTTGCAGAACGCATAAAGAATGAGCGTCGAAGTTGCCATGTACGCGCTATCATCGGTTGAAAATAAGTCGTTGCGAGGAAGGTGCTGTGGATGCCATTGTGCAGTAGAGGGAAATGCGGTTGAAGAAGAAGAGTAGGTAGACGTGAAAGAGAGCGTGCCGAAATTACGTAGCCCAACATGCCGCTTTTTACTGCCTACGCTGTTACACGGTTCCCACCCAGCCAATAATGCAAGAGCACTGATTATGGTCACGTGTATGTTCAATCGTATAAGCAATTATTGATTGTAAGGATAACATTACTTTGGCATTGATGTATATTTATGCGTCATGTTTAGGATTAGTATCTTCTAGATCCTGCTTAAGCCAACCTGCTCGGCCCCATAAAAGCACACTAAATCAGAATCCCACGCCCACAGATAGAGACCCACCATAAAAGCTAGGCACAATACATGACTACATATCCACATCAAGATTACTGCTGATGTATACACACGAGTGAATTAATAGATAGCTGGAAAACAAAAAGCTGCATACATGATAATGCAAACGTTGGTCTATTTCACTCTTGGTATCATTCAACTATTACAATCTACTAGCGATGAGTGAGCAAAAAGCAAAGATGAGAGCTGTATATACGGTGGATCAAAAAGGTGGATGTGGATATGATTGCTGTACATGGTTGCCAGGTCGCACAAAAGATGATGATAGCACCTGCCATGGAATAGCGTGTAAAGTATTAGGATAATTGGATGGGCCAGTCGTTTAGGATGATAGCATCAATCATAGTGGGCAAGTAGATACATGCAGCTGGACTTCTGTTCTACCGGGTTAGTTACGACATCCATTGTGGGTTGAGTTCCTTGTGCTGAAATTCCACCCGACAAAGTCATGATTTACTTCGGCTTCACTCCTTTGCTTTTACTGCTTTGCTCGACGCACACAACAACACACATTACGACGAATGACAACCGTAGAGAGCATTGCCTGGACTGAATTGTTAAAGGCCACCATTACCACAGCTCAACATGGTAATGACGGCAACCGAATTGCCACGGCAACCGAGACCCTACAGCAAACCGCCCACCAATTCGTCAAGGTGCTCAATGAACGTGCCAAGTTGTTAGCCAACAGTGCCCAGTTTGAAAGAGCGTTACGAGATGCAGCAGCCATAAGGACCATATCACCTGGTTCAGGATTTGGATACTTGTGTATGGGAGACGTGTATTGTCAGCAAGGCCATCATGCAGCAGCCATTTCCATATATGATCGAGGACTTGAAGCAGTGCCTGAATCAGATGCCTATTATCACCAGCTTCAGCAACATCGGATGACAGCAATAAACATCAGCAACAAACGTGTCGACTTCATCAGCCAGCTCCCACTAGATATTGTCATCATCAACATTATACCAAGGATAGAGCCAAAATTATATTCGCATTCGTTGTATGGGCCTCTTTATGTATCACGTACATGGCGGGAGCGTTTCTTGCAGCACCCTGACGGCTTGGACTACCATTTTGATGATGCAGAAGCCACCTTCAAGGCGGGACATGATCAGCTTGTCCGATTTGCACCCTATGTACAGAGCTTAGACGTTTCTATGAAGGACGTGGATTTGGATGAACTCTTTTCTCGTGCACACTTTTCCAGTCTAAAAGTATTAGATATCATGTGTAAGTACATATGGATAAGGTGTAATGTGACATGATGGTCGATGCGAATAACTTTTGTTTTACGTATCAGGTAATCCTTCAACGCCTTTTCGTCCATTAATAAGTGGTCTTCAAATGATTGCTGATTCACTGACGCACTTGTACATCATGGATGGTCATTGTCTTGAATTATGCGATATTTTGGAATCATGTCCCAATCTTGTGTCCCTGTCAATGGATGAGGTGGGTGTTGATGTGCCTTTACCACCTTCAGCACGTTATCCCAAGTTGACGCATCTAGCAATTCACAACGTATCAGACATACCTCTCGACGACGATGCGATAGAAGATATCCTCAGCCGGCTTCCTTCCTTATTGTCATTCGAGATCACGCCAAAGGCCGATTCCAGCCTCTTACCCATCCTACATGAGCTCTGTCCCTATCTGCAGAGACTTTATTTCGGTGACAGAAGTTTTCGCGCCGACAAAATCGATGTTCATCCAAATCGTAAAGGGATCACGCTGGCGCGCTTCCATGGCTTCAAAGACTTTTATGTACAAGATCATTTGATTCAGTTCTTTCTCACCCATCGAAACACACTGGAAACGTTTGATTGTGATGGTGATATCATAAGGCATTATGATGCGCTTTGGGAATTATCGGATGGACGGATTTTGCAGATTGGTGATCGTCGAGGCAAGATACTGGAAAATGACCCAACTCAATCAGACACTTCATTGATACGACTTGCCAGCATTCGTTTTGCCGAGTTTTGTTCATCTTCATGCAACCCTTTTATTTCATGGATCGTATTGAACGCGCCCAATCTCACAACTATCAGCATCAAAGAATCACTTTTTCAACCTGAAATCGCCAACGTGATGACCAAGTCGAAGAAGCTTTCAAAGCTAGAAATCACTCGGCCTTGGGAAGATCAATACATCTTTGGTGAGGAAGATAATGAAGGCATTGTTCAATTCTTGGAGTATCATATTGCAATGGGGGACCAGTCTACGCTACAAGAGATCACCATATGCACTGGCATGAGTTTGACTATATCAGAAACATCTATATCTCGTATTGCCAGGCTGCCATGTCTCAAGACCTTGGAATTAATCGCCTATCATATTCCCAAAGAATGCACATCAGCGTTGGCAGGATGTTCCTCTCTTCAAAAGCTAACTCTCGGTGGTCGCCGTGCCACATTTGCTGACGATCTCATGATGCCGTTGAGCACACTTCCAAATCTCAAATGTCTCCGAATTCGAGCCGAATCACTGTCGGAGGTCGACCTCGTTGCCTTGACAACATTTCCTCGTTTAGAACAGCTTTATCTTGAATGTGCTGTTCCTGATTCTATTATGGCGAGGTTGCGTAAACATATACCCAAAATCATTATCCAATAAGATACAATACTTTCTTTTATTCCATGATTGTACGTTTCCAGAGAAGTAAAGCATACTCGTTTCTATGACGACAGCCCACACCTTTTGCTAGATATTTGACACCCGATGCCCTTCATTACTTTTGAAGCTCTTTCGATGAATCACTCTATTTGGAACGACCTCTGTCAACTACCCACGCTCATTGCCACTCGTCCACATTACGCCAAGCGTGCTTCTGATTCAACGACACAGCTACAGCAATCTATTCAAAACGTCCTCCATGTGTTAGACGATCGTGCCATCGTCTTGACGCTCTCTGCCAACTTTGCTACGGCTCTTCGTGATGCGGCTGCCATGCAAGAACTTTCGCCATTGTCACCCCTTGGCTATTTACGTGAAGCTACTATCTACAGCGAACAAGGTAGACAACAAGCTGTTGTGGATGTTTGCAACAAAGGACTCAGTATTGTTGATATCAATGATCCTGGATACAGCAAGCTTCAACAAGCCAAAAGCGATGCTATGCAACGTGGTGCCTGTCGCATTGATTTCATCAGCCAGCTCCCCCTTGACATTGTGACACATGTGCTTTTTCCGATGCTTTTGGATGATGGTGGTGGGATATCGGATCCCTTGAAGCTATGCCCCTATTTGGATGTGTCAAGGACGTGGTTTGATCGGGCCCTTCACGCTAGTGGCGGTGCATTTCATTTCAAGGTTTACAACGAGCGCTCCAGCAACCAGATTACTCGCTTTGCTCAACATACAAAGGCAGCATACATGAGTTACTATCATGAGGGAAATTGGCAATCAGACTTTTTACGTGATGCGAACCTGTGCTTTTTGCGGGAGATGGAGATTATAGGTATTAATAGAAAGGGTGATGATGTATTTGAAGACCAAGAATTGATTTCAATGTTGTTTAGGTCTCAATCAAACAATCGACCTGGATCATCTTATTTCATCATTACGATACGTCAGCAACACTTTGATTCATTTGACGATTACGAGGTCGAAAAGCATTCCCTCTCAGCCAGGACAACGTCCTCGTTTGTTTCCCTCACCTGATCCACCTCTAAATGTGGTAGACATCTTGATCAATTGCCCCAATTTGGTATCGTTGGATTGTGGCTATCGATTCGCTACCGATTTCAGTGCTGTCCCATCGACAAAGACTTGGCCACAACTCACAACCTTACGTCTGGATCATCATCACGGCGTTGCTTTCGAAGGTCAATTCTTGGAGATTTTGAAGCGGTTTCCATCGCTCAAGAAGCTTGTGCTTAATCCATGTATTGAAACGCAACCGATGACAATGATCCAACGCTATTGCCCTTCCATGAGTGAGCTTGAACTCATTCCAAAACGCACACAATCACAACCAGCACGATATGAGCAACAACATGAGGATCAGTGGATCAATGAAGGAGGAGGTGGATTGGAGAAAATAACGGTTTCAGAAGGTCACCGAGGCTATGACGCTTGGATGGATATGTGCCCGATGCTACAGCAACACCACAATACGCTTATTCACCTCGAGTTGAATATGGATTATGATGGCTACAATGATGGTGACCTTTTCAACCTGGAATACCCTTGCCTTAAAACATTGGTTCTTCAAGACTATGCTTCGATCGATGCTTGCTTTGGGTGATGGATTATGCGAAAGGCGCCGTTTCTCGAGGAATTGAGCATTACAGCAGATATCATCGTATCGAATCCTGTTCTACTCGGTTTCACACCACCATCCACCCTAAGAAAACTCGTGCTGGACCTTCGCCATATAGATCGCCTTGAAGACCCGACAGTGATTGTACGATTTCTGGACCGCTTTTCTGGAACCTCCTTAAAGGAGTTACAGATATCTTTCAACAACCACGATGATGTTACTCCTGATATTCTTATTGCTTCCATCTGCCGTTTGAATCAGCTTCAGCGTTTGGCGATATCGTTTTTCTTGAGAAGGAAGCCATGGAAAATGGACCACTTTGTAAATATGCTTGTGGAAGGATGCCCATGTCTTTTATCTCTTGAATTGAATCTAAACCTTTCTCCTTCGGCTTGTGCTATCAAGGATCCACAAAAGCTTCAACATTTACGACACCTCGGCATTAAAATGGACGACACTCCTGAATACAATGAAGCATGGGATGCTTTGGGAACTCTTTCACAGCTCCATTCTGTTTGCCTCTTCTCGGATACTATGCTGAAACGATCTTCCATCAACAATCTCAAGAACCAAAGACCTGGTGTAAAAGTAGTGGCCCCCTGGCGTCGTTTTCGGCTTTGATCCTTGTATTTAGGTTGTTTGATATTGTACATACATATCTTCATATGAAGCTTCCCATCTAACATCCTTCCTTTATATAATTCAATAATCCCCATATCATCATCCTCTGTATTGATCATCCAGCTCTAATTTTGTTACGCATAATGTATAGTTTTACAATAAGGTATTCATCATCTAGCGTTTTTACTTAGTCAACAAGGTCAACTAAGAATACAATGAATGCTATGGCGTCTATCTTTCACTAAACCTTGATATACATGAGCCATATTGCGAGCAGACTCAAGATCAAAATGACGTGCACGACGACTTATCCGGTACCAAGACCAACCAATCGTTTTTTCCAGGTTGGATAAGAAAAGCTGCCAAACTTGATTGGGTTCAATGTTTCTTGGGATATGGAACTCGAATACGCCTAATACACCATACACATAATCAACCGGATCCATGCATTGCCGAGATGATTTTGAGAACGCATTGACCAAGAGAAATGTCTTTCTATTCGCTATAATGTCTTCTATGTGATGGGCAGATGGTCGGTAGCAGCTCCGGGAAGCTCCTACTTCATACATCCACTGAAAGGGCCCATTGTTCCAACTCTTTATAGCTGTAGGGTTGTAGAATGCAAGAGTTAAAGTGAGTGGTTGTCTTTTGAATAGGCACATCCATTTCGATGTTTACGTAGGGTACATACCTTCATCGCCTTCCTCCGTACCATCCACGTGGGATAGTATATTATGGAAGTTTACCCCAAAGTAAAATAGCTCGGACATCTCCACCATGTTGTCATTGGTCATGTCGTTGGCAGTTTCAGCTATAAACACCAATTCCTTAGGAAGCGCCATTTCCTGCCATGTCCATACACGCTGCCACCATTTACAATTGATGAACGCTTTCCAAACATCAACTTCAGATGGAAGGCTGCTAAGTATTCTTTCGCTTGGAAATCGCACCGCTTCATGCTTATAACCAATCCTTTGTATTTCGGGTATGACAGCTGCATCACAATCAACCAGAGCATAGCATTTATAGCATTGAGCGTAAATATCCCCCATAATATCCAAGGGGGTATCCGTGCGTGCGCACAAAACGTCGATCCACCAATAGCTGTCAGGATGGTGTTCAAGTAGCTTGAGCAAAGTCTCGCGTTTTTCAGGTCGCATCGAAATAGGTGCAGCAGGTTGTCCCTTTTCATCATCCACATAGTCACCGATCTCTTGCCATAAATGTAAATTAGCCTTTGAGATACCCCATATATGAGAGAGCGCATAGTGTGGCAAAATGGACGCCTCTGCTGGTTCCTTTTCTTCCTTGTCAGGGATCTTGTCTATAATGCGGCTTTGATGGTACGTATCGGTTGCAGGACGAATCAACTTCATTTTGGTTCCTTTGTCGTTGGGCACGTAAAGCAACAAAAAGTGAGGATCGCTCAAGAGACGTAATTTAGGCTGTATGTATGTATTTAGATAATTGTAATCGAGATACCAGCTTACATACTTCAAAAGCATTGAAAATGGTTGGTTCATCGCACGTCATGGCAAAGTGGAAACGAAAAGGAGTTGGGTAGTGGGAAAAGGGTGTTGCTCATCATCATCTTTTTACGCCTCTGTTTTGTGCATGTGTTTGTGTTACGTGCAGCGTGCCGATCGGATGCTCCTTGCATACAACATGGAAGAAGCATTGTAATACGACGCATGACAACGCGTTTATTGCTGATTTTAAATGGGCCAAATCCTCGGATCATGAGCATCATACCATGGGTGAAGAGATTTAATAATGAAGCCTTTTAAGCGAGCGAGGTAAAGATGTGTGCGCGCATCATGCAACAAGGCGGAACCATTCCGTCCTAGTTTGGATGTAACGTGTCACAGTAAAAGTAGCACAGAAATGACATCTTTCAATATCCTATGTGATACAGATTGCCTAATCCTTATCATCCACCGATCAAGTATGTCATGAATTTTATTACTTGTTGTGTATGCTTAAAGCTATTGTAAATGGCCCACCTGCTTCCCTGACTTGATCCATTTGTATTTGACTTGATAATCAGCCTCCGGGAACACATGAAGCTCTTAGTGGTCGTTTGTGCATGATGATGGTAAAGACATCCCCACCCCCTAATGAGCTTTATACCTGTTCATGCTCATTCGCTCGTCGAAAGATTCCATATCCATTTCATCTCCACCAGTTGAATTTTATTTGATAATATCAAGACAACTTTATCCACTTGACCTTGCCTATGTGAGATGCTACTATATCATCAAAAGATCGACTGCGAAGAGTATTCTGATATAGGGTCGATGAAGCACCTCCATAGTAAGATGGGCAGGTGCCGGTACCATAGCCTTTCGTTCTCAAGTCACCAATGTTTCATTCAACGATAGGTTTGTTGTAGCAGCGTATATCTTGTTGGATCATGTAGCACATTTTGCGTGGGATGTAACATGAAAAACCGCTCTCATCATCATCATCCAATCCATCATCCCCATCCTTGTCCAGTTGACATGATCCAATCGCCATCACACGCAAAGATGCTGCCACATCCAAGAAAACGTCAAGCATCCTCAGCAGTGTCATGCTCTGGAATCCACGCAATCCTTCTTCATCCTCATGGCGGTCGATAGGTCACGTGAAGGCATGGATAAGTGAATGAGCCCGATGCTGGTCATCCAAGGCTGTCATTGCATGTTGAAAACAATATCGGATAGTGTTCCTCCCAATCAGCAGGCCAAGTCGTCCATTCCAGCATCCTCAGCATGATTCACTTTTTCCTTGTCGATAATCGTTTCACAAACTGAAGCCATAAGGACACCATCCAAAAGTAGAAGTTCATCTCCTTGTCTCGCTGCTCTGGAATCCAACCATGTATACGTCCTCGTGTATGCTGATATCCTCACGTGAATGTGGTTGTTGCTCCAAGTATCCTTATCGTCGTATCCGTAGCTAGGGTACATATATCAACTTGATCTTCTACTGGAACTCTTGTATGATTCAGACGCCATGGAGCCAGCTGCCAAATAAAGGACCCATCATCATCATCCACAAGGTCTCTGTTCCATAACAAATGCGTGTTAGAGATGATCCATCTACCAATATCCCTGACCATTTTGCATACTCACCTCGATACGTAGGTGCATCTGAATAAGAGTGCTTGAATACGTTGCTATACCAATGGATGTATCGAAGCTGTTTCATGTGATGCTCAATGCAAAGTCTTGCTGTGGAGAATAGAAGAAGTATACTGGACCCAGTCGTCAACACATGCTGCAACACGACGCGTGAAAAGAGTAGCTCGTATAATGCAATAGGTTCGTACCCACTAGTAAGCTTGTCAAAGGTCGTAATCTGAAAGAAGAGATGCGCCGTTCTTGCCGTGTTGGTTGACGAGTTCTGGCAAGTGGGTTATTCGGTTGGTAGATTGTGCTGCGTCATGCGCTGTTGAAGAAAGAAAGAGATGTATCGAATCGAACAAGTGGCTGTTGCAAGTGCCATTGTGAGCGATTGAAGGAGTGATAGGAAGTTGGTGTTGAGAAGAAGAATGACTTCAAAATCACAGCGCGTGTCGGCCGTTTTACCTTCCTCTGTCAAAATACGGTGAACATGTGACGGATATATGTCACCTACAAAAAGACCAGCTTTCAAGCCGCAGATGGATTTCATCACCTCGACTCAATACTCCAAGATACTTGACCACTTTATCAGTTTGATCCATCATGACAACAATTTCCACCCCCCCTCACAACATAGGGAGTAGCGTGATGGATTACTCCGAATATCGTTTGTAATTGAGGCCAAGCAACATCTCACTTTTACAGCAAAACAGAGCCCCACCAACCATCAATCACGTCGTAAAGTGTACCATCTTCCCCCCCCCCCAGATCCAATGATGAGAACATGGCTCATACCACAACAATTTGCAATTTCACATGTGGTGTCGGTGATACTATAAGTGATGATGATGAGTCGGAATGTGTGCATAATGCATTCATGACCATTCCATGTATAACACAATACTCGTTGAATAGGAATACCCTTGTACATATGATTGCTATACAAGAAACTGCATCTCATAATAAACAACCAACCTCAGATTCGCACAGTGTTTTCTGAACCTATCTTGCCTCCGATGCTTTATTACAAACAACAATGGCCCAACATACCGCTTTTCACTACCTACCCGTTACACGACTCCCAACCAGCCAATAAGCAAGAGCTCTGATAAATGATCACGTGTCTCTTCAATCCTAAGCGCTTATTGATGATTGCAAGGATAACCTTGCTTTGGCATTGATGTATATTTATGCATCATGTTTAGGATTAAAATCTAGTAGATGCGGCTCAAGCCAACATGCTTGGTCTGATAAAAAGGGCACATTATTATGTATCATACCACACCCACAGAGGCCAACTCATAATAGCTATGTAACCACAATACATGACCTCATATCCATCACAAGCTTACATACTGCTGATGTAGTATATAGACAAATGAATTGATACACGAGCGAGATCATAAATAATGCGAAGGTCGCTCTGTTTCTCTTAGTATCATTCAACAATTACATACCTATTTGGGATGAATGAGCAGGTGGGGAAGATGGGTCGATGGATGGATGTAAGGTGGCGCTTGGTGTGCGGTGGAGAATCGAGCAATATTATTATCGGAGGCCAATCTTGTCGTCTTGACAACATTTCCTATTTTAGTACTTTATCATGAATGTGATGCCCCTGATTCCATTATGGCGAGGTTGCTTAAACATATATACCCGAAGTCATTATTGCATACGATACAAGACTTTCTTTTATTGCATGATTGTACGTTCCAAGCAAATCAAGCTTACTCGTTTCTATGACGACAGCTCACACCTTCTCAAGATATTTCACACCCGATGCGGTTGATTACTTTTGAACCTCTTTCGATGATTCACTCTATTTGGAACGACGTCTGTCAACAACCCACGCTCACTGCCACTCGTCCACAATACACCAATCGTGTCTCTGATTCAACGACACAGCTACAGCAATCTATTCAAAACGTCCTCCATGTGTTAGACGATCGTGCGATTGTGTTGACTCTCTCTGCCGACTCTGCTACTGCTCTTCGTGATGCGGCTGCCATGCGAGAGATCTCGCCATTGTCACCTCTTGGCTATTTACGTGAAGCCGCTATCCACAGCGAACAAGGTAGACAACAAGCTGTTATAGACATCTGCAACGAGGGGCTCAGTGTTGTTGATATCAATGATCCTGGATACAGCAAGCTTCAACAAGCCAAAAGCGATGCTATGCAGCGTGACAACTGTCGCATTGATTTTATCAGCCAACTCCCACTCGACGTTGTGACGCATATACTTCTCCCGATGCTTATGCATGATGCTGATGATGGAACATCGAATCCTTTGAAGCTATGCCCCTATTTGGATGTGTCACAGACGTGGTTTGATCGGGTCCTTCAGGCTGGTGGCGGTGCATTTCGTTTCAACATTTACGACGAGGACTCCAGCAACCAGGTTACCCGATTTGCTCAACATACAAAGGCAGCATGTATGAATTACTATTATCAGGGTAATTGGCAATCAGAGTTTTTACGTGATGCAAATTTGTGCTCTTTGCGGGAGCTGAAGATCGAAGGTAATACATAGAAAACACATTCGATGACCAGGAATTGATTTCAGTGTTGATTAGATCTCAATCAAACGACCAACGTGGATCAGCTTGTTTCATCATTAAAATACGTCAGCAATACTTTGACTCATTTGACGATTACGAGGTCGAGAAGCATACCCTCTCTCCCAGGACAAGACGAAGGTTTTACTGTGTTTGCCCCACCTGAGCCACCTCTACATGTAGCAGGCATCATGATCAATTGCCCCAATTTGGAGACGTTGGATGTTGGCTATCGATTTGATACCGATTTCAAATATGTACCACCGACGAAGACCTGGCCAAAGCTCACAACCTTACGCCTGGATCATTATGACGGCATCACTTTCAATGGCCAATTCTTGGAAATTCTGAGGCGGTTCCCTTCACTCAAGACGTTTTCACTTAATCCATGTACTGAAACGCAGTACATGACAATGATCCAACGCTATTGCCCTTCAATGAGAGATCTTCAACTCACAACAAAACTCAGACGATCACCATCACGGGCACGTAATGAACAACAACATGAGGATCAGTGGATGAACGAAGGAGGAGGTGGATTGGAGAGAATATCGATTTCAGAAGAAAACAACAGCTACTATGTTACTTGGATGGACATGTGCCCGATGCTAAAGCAACATCACAATACGCTTGTTCACCTCCATATGAATTTGAGTTATGGAAGCATCAAGGATCGTGAGCTTTTCAACCTTGAATATCCGTGTCTTAAGACACTCATTCTTCAAGGCTATTCTTTGCCCAAGGCTTACTTTGGATGGTGGATTATGCGAAAGGCGCCATTTCTCGAAGAATTGAGCATTAATGCAGATGCCATCAAATCGGATCCTTCCATCCTCGAATTCACACCACCACCCACTTTAAAGAAACTGGAGATTGACTTTTTTCATGTAAATCACCTTGATGATCGGACGGTGATTGGACGATTCATGCACCGTTTTTCTCAACGAAAGGAGGGCACCACATTAAAAGAGTTAAAACTATGTTTCGACAACCGTGGTGATTGTACTCCTGATCACTTTGTTGCTTCCATCTGCCATTTGAATCAGCTTCACCATTTGACAATATCGTATATCTCGAGAAGAACGTCCTGGCAAATAGATGACTTTTTAAAGGTGCTCGTGGAAGGATCCCCACGGCTGTTATCTCTCGACTTGGATGCAGACATTACTCCTTCGGCTCGTACCATCAAAAACCTACAAAACCTTCCAAATTTACGGCACCTCGGTATCACAATGGTGGAAACTGCTGAATACGACGATTCTTGGGATGCTTTGGGAAATCTTTCACAGCTCCATTCTATTGTCATCTTCTCGCATAGTAGGGTGGAAGGATCTTTCGTTAGAAATCTCAAAAGGCAAAGGCCTGGTGTGAAAATTGTTACCACCTTGCGTTGTTCCAAAACCTGGTATCTATAAGATTATTGATTACACATTCGTATGCAACTTTTTATCCTACATCATTCCTTTATGCAACCGAATACTAATAATCCATGCCCATCATCCTCTGTATCGATCATCCAGCCCTACTTTTGTTATAATGTATAGATTCACAATAAAGGTATCCATCATCTAGCGTTATCCATTACAGCCAGCATGGTCAACTAAGAATACAAGACATGACATGGTGTCTATTTGCATGCTGTCTGCGCTTATCATGTAACATGTCACAGCATAGGTACCATAAAAATGACATCCTTCAACCTCCTATGTGATACAGATTGCCTGTTCTTTACCATCCACCGATCAAGTACGTCATGGCATTTATTGCTAGATGTGCATGCTTAAAGCTATTGCAAATGTCCTTCCCCCCCCCCCACCAGCTTGCTTGATCCATTTCCGTTTGGCATCCTCTCTGATAATCAGCATCAGGGCACACATGAAGCACTTTGGCATGATGATGACGAAGATCATCCCCATACCCCTAACGAGTTTTCATATACCCTGTTCTTGCTCCTTGACTATTTGAAAGATTCCATATCCCCTCCATATCCACCAGCTGCACCTTTAAGATAATATAAAACCGATTTTATCCAGTTGACCTTGCCTATCTATTGGTAAACTAGTGACGCTGAGGAATATTCGAATGATGGGTGGCAAAGGGCGGTGTGATGTAAGGTCGAAGAAGCATCTCCATACTAAGACGTGTACGCCCCAACACCATAGCATGCTTGTCGCTGCGTCCTTTTGTCTCCAGCTCACCAACTTTTCGTTCGACGATAGGTTTGTCATGGTAGCATATACCTTGTATCGTGTAGCACCTTTTGCCTTGGGATGTAACATAGCAAACCGTTCTCGTCATCATCATCCCCATCCTTGTTTAGTTGGTGTGATCCAATCGTCATTGTGCGCAAAGCTGCTATCACACCGAAGGAAACGTCTAGCATCCCCGGTAGTGTCATGCTCTGGAATCCACGCAATCCTTCTTCATCCTCATGGTGGTCGATAGCTCAAGTGAAGGCGTGTATAAGTGAATGAACCCGATGTCGATCATACGAGGCTGTCACTGTGTCATTGCTGGATGTGGTGTTTACATGTGTTGATGGGCCATAGGATGATGCTGATAAAAGCAAAGGAAAGAACGAGTGCGTGTGTGTGTTGACAACAATGTCGGATAGTGGGTTCCTCTCCATCAACCGGCCAAATCATCCATTCCACCATCCTCAGCATGATCCACTTTTTCCTTGTCAACGATCGTTTCACAAACTGAAGCCATAAGGACACCATCCAAAAGTAGAAGTTCATCACCTTGTCTCGCTGCTCTGGAATCCAACCATCACCGTCCATCCTCATGCATGCTGAGATGCTCTTGCCAAAGATGGTTGCCGCTCCAAATATCCATCTTATCATGCCACGTAGCTTGGGTGGGTATCAACTTGGTCTTCTGTTGGAACTCTTGTACGATTCAGACACCGTGGTGCCAGCTGCCAAGTAAAGAGTAAATCATCATCATCCACAAGGTTCCTATTCCACAACAAAAGCGTGTTAGATATGATCCATCTGCCAATATCCCTAATAGTTGCATAATCACCTTGCTACGTTGATGCATTTGAATAAGTGTACGTGAATAGTTGCTATGCCAGTAATCAGATGGCTGTTCCAAGCTGCCTCGTGTGATGATCAATGTATGGCCCTGGTATCGAGAAAGGGAGACGTGCTGGATCCAGTCAACATGACATGCTGCAATACAACGCCTGAAAAAGAGTAGGCTGTATAATGTAAGTAGTCTTGACACCAGTGAGCTCGTCAAAGGTCGTAATCAGAAAGAAGCGATCCAGTTCTTGGCGCGTTTGTTGAGGAGTTCAGGCAAGTGGGTTATTCAGCTGGTGGGATGCACCGCATCGTGTGCTGCTATTGACGAAAGAGATGTATCGAACAAGTGGTTGTTGCAAGTGGCATTGTGAGCAAGTGATGGAGTGAGACGAGGTTGGTGTCGAGAAGAAGAATGACCACCCCCATGCCACGTCGGCTGTTTTTTATCCCCCTCCCTCCACCAAAGCATGGTCACACAAGCACATCCCGCTAAACATCATCATCCAAAAGCATTCAAATACAAATAATGCCCCGTGTGGATCAATGCTTGAAAGATTCGATTGCTCTTATTGAACTATGTAATGGTGGTTGAGAACGCTCTCTTTATGATATGCACACAGTATCCACCATCATTTTATTCCATACTTTAGAGATGATGATGATGACGTTGATGACGATAACGAGAACGAAGGATCCAAACGTGTCATGGGACGACATTGATGACGATATACATTCTTGAGACACATACCTTCATTATTGGATGCTGTTTTACTTACGTACCTTCACAAAAGGCAATCATCATCATCATCCATTTGTGGAGCAACCTGCCAAGGACGCGTTTGTGTAACCACCACGTGCGGTTTCACTCAGCTCTTCATCTTTCCGTTCATGCAGCCGACACCATCCACTAGGAAAAAGCAGCTCCATCACGCTTACAGCATAGGTAAAACATAAACGTGGCTGTTTCTCCAAACTTTACAATGAAACGTGGGGTTTTTATTAGAGCAATGGGCTCGGCTTGGCCAACAGCACCTTGTGTGAAAGTTTCGCGTTCAATGTCGCAAACAGCCCAAAAAATATTTTTTGGTCGTCGTCGTCGTCGAAGAGGTCGACCCCCAGATCCAGTTTGGCTGGTGGCGACATTGCGAAATCTGGGATTGGCAAGCTTGATCGTGAAACTTTCACACAAGGTGCTGTTGGCCAAGCCGAGCCCATTGCTCTATTCAAAACCCCACGTTTCATTGTAAAGTTTGGAGATACACGCACTTTATGTTTGTAAGCGTGATGCTATATGAGAAGTGGTCTTTGTTCATTGCCAAGTAGCTAGACCCTGGAGAGCCAAAGATGCAGAAGGACCTCTTTGGGGTACTCAGCTAAAAAGTCAGGACTTCAGGGACAATGCATGAAAGGTACGCAACCCTCACTTTTATGTCATACATTGGCAGCTAATAGCCACTTTTGTGCATTCCCACCTTTTGTGCATTCTATTGTAGGTGGACGATGCTCCTGCTCCAGACATTCATTTCCATGATTAAAGTAGGTTGATCCGAGCTGATTTGGTTGAGGTACGCTCACACAAGATTACATCGGTTGAGCTACATCGAGCGTGCTTTATGTCCAGAGTGATGTAATCTCTCTTTGACCGCAGCTCAGTCAAATCAGCTCGGATCAACCTACTTTAATCATGGAAATGAATGTCTGGAGCAGGAGCATCGTTCCATTGCAGTGGATCTCGCAACAATGATGACTGGATAAAAGTGGCTGTTAGCTAGCAATACATGCCTGTTCCTAGATGATCCATAAAGTAATTATACATTGACCCTTCCATTCATGCAAACGTAGCTGTGTCACACAACACGACCCTCTGCATCTTTGGCTCTGTTGTAGTCACACTACTTGACAATGAACAAAGATCACCCCTCATATAGCATCACGCTTACAAACATAAACGTGCCTGTATCTCCAAACTTTACAATGAAACGTGTGGTTTTTATTAGAGCAATGGGGTCGGCTTGGCCAACAGCATCTTGTGTGAAAGTTTCGCGTTCAATGTCGCAAACAGCCCAAAAAATATTTTTTTGGTCGTCGTCGTCGTCGAAGAGGTCGACCCCTGGATCCAGTTTGGCTGGTAGCGACATTGCGAAATCTGGGATTGCCCACGATGAACTTCATACTTTGACACAAGATTCCTTTGACCCCGACGAGCACGTTGATCTATTAAAGAGCCCACGTTTGATTGTAAAGTTTGGAGATACAGGCACCTTTATGTTTGTAAGCGTGATGCTATATGAGAAGTGGTCTTTGTTTAATGTAAAGTAACTAGACGTTGGAGAGCCAAAGATGCAGAAGGACCTCTTTGTGTAACTCAGCTCATTTTACATGATTGGAAAGGTCAACGTATACTTTCCAGTAAGAGCTCATCATTGGCAGCTAATAGCCACTTCCTCCCATTTCCAGCTTTTATCCATTTTACGACATGTGAACAGTGCTCCTGCTCCAGCCGAGCATTTCCATCATTCAACTTTCTTGATCTGAGCCGATTTGACTGAGCTACGCCCAAACTGCAAACATGAAAATAAATGACTCGCAGACCCTGCGAATGTCTCCGCCTTTCAAACTTTTGGACGCTCCCATTCCAAACTTTCAAATGAAGCGTGAGGTTTTTATACCAAAAAGTTGATCAGCATGCTCGAGAGCACCCTTCTGACCAATTGTCAAGTTGGAGGTAGGTAACCTCGGGGCGGTGGGCCGTCTACTCTTTTGTTCCCATCATCCACCATTTAGGCCGCCCCGCATTTTAAATCTTCACAATGAAGTGTGTGTTTTTTATTTGAATAGCGTTGATCAGCATGTCCCAGCGAACCTTCTGACAAAGTTTCATGTTCGAGATGGGGAATCCCAAGGTAATACATACTATTTCGATAAAGCATGAATCTGGGGCTGACCTGCATTTCCGACCTCCATAGTAAACCCACATTGTACCCTCCCATTCAATTTCTTATAATGAAGTATAGGTTCTTTTATAATACAAAGTTGATCAGCATGTCTAAGAGCATCTTGTGTGACAGTTTCAGGATCAACAGGTGTAATCTCATAATCAAGGCTTGATGTACAGTGTTCATGCATTTATACAAGAGGTGTCCGAGGTAGTTAATTTCCCACTCCTTCCACTCCTACAACTTCTTGTCGCTTCCCCCCATTCTCAACTGTTGGCCCATTCAACTACAACTACTAGCTGTAAACGATTGTCCTGCTTCAACCCATCATGTCAATCCTACGAATGTCTTGATCCGAAAGCCTTTGACTGAATGGCAAGTCCATGGCGTGTACACAGCTTTCTTGTTACTCTTCTACAGCGCACACCCTTGCACGCTTCCCTGCCACGACCAATCGTAACAGCATTCATTGCAGCGGTTACTATTAGCAAGCTATTTACTCCTTCGTATCCAACAGCGTTCTTTACTTGCAGCAACTTGCCTCACAGCCTATTCTTACGTGGACAGCAGATGGCCATTGTATAGAAGCAGCTTTATTTACATACAGCAACTTGCTGTAATGCATGTGATCCCTATGGATGATGCGATATCAGCTATCAAATACAACGCAATGTAAGTAATCTTCACCTGGTTGAGCTGCAATGGAAATGACCACAAGTGCAGTGATGAGAATACATCAAGTGCAGTGATGAGATGTCCTGTTGCTTTGGTTACTTTGCGCGTTGTCAGCAGGAAGGATGGACTATGTCACGTGGATACGGCTGAGGATGATGATGGATGGGATGGCATTGACAAAGAGAAAGTGTTTTACAGCCATGGATGATATTGGGAACACTCGGGTTGAATCATGCAGCAAATGTTTTCCAATTATGGATGAAGGGTGTTTATGACGACAGCAACAAGAATACAACAATACAATGTAGCCTCTATTGATTTACACTCCATGTATCTTGTACAATTTGCACTATTCCTTTACCATATTTATCTGATAAACATCCACACTACCATGTGCTATTCGTCGACTTACTCATTGAAGGAAATTTGGATCAACACTATGTAACAAGGGAGACTCACATGTAGCAAGTATGTAAAGCATTCAATAAGCGGACGCAGGCATATCAGCTGTGGATGATAAAAGTGAACGCTGTATATGTATGGGTCACGACAAATGCTATATGATTTATTGTAAACAACTTGGTAGAAATAGATGCAAGTTTAAAAGGATACATAAAAGGGGAAAAGCTAAAGTCTAGATTTGTGACCATTACAATACTTGACAAGGGGTTGTGCCGTTAAACAACTTCTTTCGTTCTTCACAATTCGCTGGCTTCTTCGATACCTGCCCCAACTTTTTTCTTGAGGTAACGAATGAAACCAACGGCTTCATCCAACGAATCGATTTGAGAACGGGAAGTAGAGCGATATGGAAGCTCGTCATTCAAAATAGCGTATAACTGTTTAAGATGTTCAGTGCGCGTACGGGCGGATACGTTTGGTGCATAATCAGAAAGTTCATCATAACAGTTCTTGGGCGAAGATGGGTCATCCGGGACTCGACGTCGCTTCGTCGAGGATGAAATAGAATCATCATCCGGTTCTTGTTGGTAGCGACGCTTGTTGGGTGATGTGAGAGACTTGACCGGTTCTTGTTCCTCGATTCGGTTTTCATGGGATGAGAGAGGCTTACGCATTCCATGGTCATTGTGGCCGTTTTCATTGGTTGAGAGAGGCTCACGCATGTCTTGATCGACATGTTGCTTTTCATGGGATGAGAGAGACACATGCATTTCTTGATCGTCGTAGTGTTGGTTCTCATTGGATGCGATAGGCTCATGCATTTCTTGATCTTCATCCTGCTTGGCAGGGGATGAGGGAGGGTAGTCGAAAAACCTATGGGATGAAATAAAGGTCAGAGAAAAAATGATATCCGGTGGATCGCAATGAGATTATGTACGTACACCATGGCGAGTCTTTTCAAAAGTGGAGAAGGTGGAGAATATGTAAGAAGATGGGCTGATAAGATGGTAGTGGATGAAAAAAAACAGTGGTTTCGGTCGTCCTATTTATACCATATCGTTCCTGGCTTTGCAAAAAAGAAAGCCAAGAGTCTCCTCTGCTAAAATTATCATGCAGTTCGAACAAAGAAATCCGTGCGGCATCCTTTATTACTGTCGCCATGGTGTAAACACATCACTTCCCCTTTTTTTCTCCCACTCAGCATGCTTCGTCTCTTTGTTTCACTATTTAGCAAAGACCAAAAGATGCTTCCACAAGAAACTAACAACAGCTAAGAGCAATGTTATTCATGTTGTATTATAGTTCTAATAAAGGATGCTTATGTAACATTGGTTGGTTGTTGCTATGGCAACCTGAGTGTTGATTTGAAGGTCACCACATCATTTGCAAGATCGTTGAACAACTAAAGGGCTATCGAGGGAACATAGTACATGCTTGATGGATCATCGTTGCTGTTTTTGGCGTTGCTGTTGTTTTCGTTTTTGTTGTTGAGCTGCAGGAGCAGCAGCAAGGTAGAGGTGTACCATTGTTCTTCGTTGTTGATTGATACCAGGAATAGCTAAATGCCCCTGCATGCACCCACGAGAATCAGGAACTGGAATAGAAAAATCATGGACTTGATTGTTAGATGGTGCCATTAATATACCATGGTAAAAGCATTGGACCAAATTAGCATGAATCGACCCGTCGTTGGATTTGTGTTGCTATCCTTGAAGGAATAGCGCAGCTTGCTTGATTCAACGAGGCCTTTCCATCAGCTGTGGAGAAACTCGTGAAGGCATGCAATTACTCAGGGAAGGATGTTGTTGTGGAGGAGTTACCTGAAAGGAAGATTGTTTTCGATGCAAGCTGTATTACATATCCGAATTGATTGTTCCAGAATCGAATATCCAACTTCTTTGTATATCAAGGTTCTTCCAGCCACGCCGATCAACCTTGTTCCAATAAAGATGCCCCATTCTTAATTGTACAATTTTGGGTTCAAGATTTCTTTATGTTTTTAACTAGCAGCTTGGGTTGCTCGCCTCGCTCGTAAACGTCGATTTTGTGTGGAAGGGCTTATTACTACCTATGGAATAATGTTTTGATCCACAGTGTGTAATAAGCATGCAGACACAATATGTAGTATCCATCTTCATGATCGTTATAGGCACTCACGCTAATAAACAGCTGGTAAAAATAGGCTCAACTTCTAATCACCCGACTCAGGTGCTGCTTTATTCTCTCTTTCCCCTGTGTCCTACATTGCACCCTCCCAATCTCAACTGTTTGCCATTCCATCGCATGCGAACGAGTGTCCTGCTTCAACCCATCATATCAATCCTACAACTGCCTTGGTCCGATTGCGTTTGACTCAATGGCAACTCCATGGCGTGTACACAGCCTTCTTGTACTCTTCTACAACACACGAGTCTCTTGACACGGCATACACTCTTGCAGGCTCCTCTGCCACGACCAAGGGTAGCAACAGTTCTTAATACTAAAGGCTTTACTCCATTGCCTCAAGTTACTTGCAGCAGCATGTTTTAGTACATACGAATGCCAATGGATGGGGTGCCATATCCTCTATCAAGTATGCCACAATACAAGCATCTTCATCTTGTGGAGCTGCGACATAGGACAAACAGCCGGATGGAAAAGGAAGTGCATCATCAGCAGCCATAGGGGCTCTTTTCTATTGGACTTGGAATGGTTATGGATGGATGGGTTGGAATCAAGTGCAGTGATGAGAAATCCTGGAATGCTCCTTTGGTTACTTGACGCGTCGTCAGCAAGAACGATGGATCGTATCACGTGGATACAGCTGAGGATGATAATGGATTGGATGGATGAGGAACGGGCCTCGATCTTGACAAAAGGTATTGTATAGCCATGGATGGTGTTGGAGCATTCGATTCAATGCGTGCAGCAGCTACTTTACAATCATGGATGAAGGATGGTTATGGCGGCAGCAACCAAGGATAGGATGACACAATTACCCCTGTTCCCTCTATGTGATTTACCCGTTTCTTATACAATGTTGTTCTTTTATCATATTGGTTTGATAAACATCCACACTACCACGTACTATTCTTCGACTTTCATTGAATGATGGGATTAGATTGAACATATTATTCAAAAGGGTATCGTACTACCAGCTCACATGTGCAAAATATGGATCACTTGGTTGGTTTCTGGATTGAAAAGGGAGAATAGGAATTTGAAGGTTGGGAAGCGAGATTGGATCATTTACATAATCGTATCAAGGTGCTTAGTTGGTCTTTTGATACAACATTGCTACATTCGCTAAAGCTTACTGTAAATGATGGCACCAATTCATGTACTGTGGAGTGAAGAACTTGTATGTTACATATTGTGCCAGTCCTCTTGGTGTGGATGCACGATCTACGTACTACGCTGGATAATCTCGGGCGAGCTGATGATTCGTGTAAGGATGTGTCCGAGCCCCCGCTTCTTAGATGCTCATGCAAAATAAAGCAGCACATAAACGATCATTTTCTGGAACATGCACATCTTCTAGAGCTTACATTGGGGGTAATGACTTGATGATGATGGTTGCGGGATGTTCAGAATCAAGGTAAGCATTATGTAGACGTCGTGTTTTATTGGCATCATCACTTCTTCGCACACACGTCGTTCATTCAGTGGATGGTGCCTTTCATTACCTCCGTGATAACGCCACAGCGTATGCATTTAGCTCCATGGTGCCTTTCAAAGTCTCTTCGAAGAACAAAGTTCCCTGCATCTCAAGGAGCACAGCTTGCATAGGGGATATGTAAGGCTCTGCTTGCACCTTTACTCACCTCAATAGCAATATTAACAAGGAATGTATTCATCAAGCCTATAATATTATCACTAATTAGAGAGGAGAGAACCATGAATTGAATATATGGGCCACCTTGCTGCCCTTTTCATACGTAGTGCCATTTTCGTCACATTTAAATGTGCAAGTTGGGTTTGTTAACGCAATCCTTTCAAAAAATGAAGGTGGAAACAGCAACAACAACAACAACTAGGCCTTATCCATTCTTGTATGTATACGTGCAGTTGATAGATCCTATCGCAAGATGAGGCTGTCGAGCATCATACACAACACTCTTGTGTAGCTTACGCTTCATGCTCTCGGTTCATTCGGTAAGGATACGCCATATGCAAAGTGAATGTGTATCATCGTTTACATATCATCTGGGAATCTTCTTACTTACGTAGCCCCCTTCTTAAACCTTCAAATCCCAACAATTATATAAATGCAAGTGGTGTTGGTGGTGTTGAGTAGCATACATCACTTTCACCAATCAACTATGATGAACTTGAAGCTTTCAATTTTTATTACCCTTGCCCTGTTCGCGCTTACGGCGATGTCTCAGCAAGACCGCAAGAGAGCCCAAACTAGACCTGACGTTGGAGTATGCATGGAACGTTGCAAGGGAGACCGTAATGTCATGAGATGTGTAGACTTATGCATGAAGGGAGCTCGTTAGTGATCAGCACATCAATGTATCCGTAGCTAGGAATAATTACACCATACAACTCGCTTGTCATGTATCTGGCTCGTATGCATTTGATCTTGTCATTAAACCACTTTGGTACTTTATTTCTTAATACATCTGCTATGTGCCATGTTGGGGAGCGATCACTATACTTTGTTGATTGCAAACAAGAACTGCATATAGCATTCAAGAAGCCACGTGTTGTGTGATCGTCAATGCTAACATGTAACCGGGGATACTGATATCAGGTTGCCTAATCTCACTACGCCAAACTACTTCCCACTGCCATTGATGCTACGTGGCCGATGATAGATATGATACAGCTATATTTCACCATCCACCAAACCTGAGGGAATGAGAGCCTATCATACATCATCTATATAAACCAAATGCATTATGTCTCTCAATATGGTCTCCATTTCATATACAGTAACCATTTTGGTTGATGTAATACGTGAAGTTTATTACATGATGATGGGGGAATACAAAGTGCTTCGTGATGATTGCTATTTGCTTGGCCAATGCGATGATTTCGAACATGATTCCTTTGCATGTGATCAATGCGTTGAATACAAACTCCACCAACCTTGCCCTACTCTGCTTTCCCTACTTTGTTTCACGCAGGCGCGCATACACCACGACAAATGACAGTTGTCGAGGACATTAGCTGGTCCCCATTACTGAAGCACAACACTCTCACGGCGCAACATGGTAATGACGGCAACCGAATTGCCACGGCAACCGAGACTTTGAAGCAAACAGCTCACCAATTCGTCCAGGTGCTGAATGAACGTGCCACGCTGTTAGCCAACTGTGCTCAGTTTGATACGGCGCTACATGATGCAGCAGCCATACAAGCCATATTACCGGGATCAGGGCTTGGATATTTGTGTATGGGAGACGTGTATTGTCAACAAGGACATCATGCAGCAGCGATTTCCATATATGATCAAGGACTTCAAGCAGTAACAGAATCCGATGCCTATTATCAGCAGCTTCAGCAACATCGAATGACAGCAATAGCCAACAACAACAAACGCGTCGATTTCATCAGCCAGCTACCATTGGATATCGTCATCATCAATATTTTACCAAGGGTGTATCGATCCATGTTTGGTCCCTTGCGCGAGATTCTTTACGTATCACGTTCATGGCAGGAGCGTATCTTGAAGCAAACAATGGGCTTAAAGTTCTCCTTTGGCGATGAAACCAACACATTCAAAAAGGGTCATGCACAGCTTATTCGATTTGCACCCTATGTCCAAACCTTGAGTGGTTCCCTGTCGAATGTTGTTTGTTTGGATGACCTGTTTTCTCGAGCCCACTTTTCCAACCTGAAAGAACTCAGCTTATTCTGTAAGTAGTGGGGGATGATGGTATACCAGGTGATAGGGTGATTGACCTTGCTTATATTATTAGGTACTCCGCCCATGCCTCTTCTTCCATTGATCCATGGCCTGCAATTGATTGCTGATTCTCTGACACACTTACTCATCTATGATTGCCCATTTCTTCAACTATGTGACATCCTGGAGACGTGTCCCAACCTTGTATCTCTGAGAACGATGAATGTGGATGCAATTATGCCTTTGTTGTCTTCATCAAGCTATCCAAAGATGACTCATCTTACACTTCACGGGCAGTCAGAACGAGCTCGCACGCATGAAAATATCGTCAATGTCCTAAGAACATTACCTTCCTTGCGGGTGCTTGAAATTTTCCCAATCCCCGATTCCAGTCTTTTGCCTCTTCTACACAAGCATTGTCCCTATCTACAAGTCATACTTTACGGGTTCTTGAGACGCTTTTCCCTTGACCTTCCAGAAAAAGTCCAAGCAAATCGAAAAGGGATTGCATCAGCTTATCTACACGGCCGCGATTTTTATAAGCAAGATGACCTGGTTCAGTTTTTACACGTGCAGAGAGATTCGTTGGAAACGCTCAAATTTCGTGGGGATATTGAGATCGATGATGATGATGCTTTTTGGACGATATCAAATGGACATGTTCAATCGAGTAATCAGCATCCTGAAAACAACCCATCATTTCCTCGATTGGTCGACCTTGGCTTTACAAATATCCATCCATCTACTACAGGAGTCCCTATGGTGCTGTGGATCCTATTGAATGCACCCAATCTCACCACCATCCATATCCATGATATCTATTTTCGACCTGCCATTGTCAACGCTATGATCAAGTTGAGGCATCTACAAAAGATACAAATCGACGTGGTATCCAAAGAGGACGACAATGGTATTCGCACATTCTTGAAGCATCATATTGCGCTGGGAGATCACTCAACGCTCGAACATGTGGTTGTGGACTCGAATCCTGTCGAGATGTCTAAAAAGCCCTGGATAGCTTTACTTTCAAGATTGACGCGTCTCAAGAACCTCGAGTTACTTGCTGGTGTCATTTCCGACAATTGCATCCCCATCATGGCAGCGATAGGTCAAGGATGTCCCACTCTCGAAAAGTTGACTCTTGGCATGTATGGTGCAGAGTTAGCGGATGGTCTCTTGATGCCTTTGCGTAAACATTCGAATCTCGAATACCTCAAGATTGGAGCAGATGAATCTTTATCCGATAACGACCTTTTGGCTTTGTGTACATTCCTTGGCCTAAAACAGCTTCAACTTCGATTCATTGTGTCAGATGATTTGCTTGAGATGTTAGAAGATCGTATCCCCCATGTCGAGATTGGCCTTTTATGATATAATGTATAAAGCCATCATCTTTTCTTATCCCATGATTGTTTGGTGTGAAAATTGTCGCATTTATTATGTATAATAAGCCATGCGGTGATATACATACCATCATGTAGACATTAGGCATTCTATATGCTGTGTATGGGGTTTTACTAGGTAAGACATGTCCTATTCGCACATGTTTATCATCTCACATTATTTTATGTCTATGGGTGGGTTGTTATCATACAAGATGCTACTTGCTTCGCTGAAGCATGTTTCAAGGGTCCCATTTCATGCAGCTTGATTTCTATTCAGAGCTGAGTTAACCACATCAATTGGAGGGTTGAGTTCCTTTGTGCTTGCTTTCACCCCCTTTGCTTTTACTACTCGGCTGCTGTACTCAGACACCCATACACCACGACGATGGCCGTTGTCGAGAACATTAGCTGGTCCGAATTGCTGAGGAAGCCCATTGTCACAGCCCAGCATGGTAATGACGGCAACCGAATTGCCACGGCAACCGAGTCTTTGCAGCATGCAGCCCACCAATTCGCCCAATTCCTTAAATGAACGTGCCAGGCTTTTATCCAACAGTGCTCAATTTGATACAGCGTTACGTGATGCAGCAGCCATAAGGACCCTATTACCAGTATCAGGTCTTGGATACCTATGTGCAGGAGATGTGTATTGTCAACAAGGACACCATTCCGCAGCCATTTCCATATACGATCAAGGACTTGAAACCGTGCCTGAATCGGATCCATATTACCAACAGCTTCAGCAACATCGAATGGCAGCAGTAGCTAACAACGACAAACGCGTGGATTTTATCAGCCGGTTGCCATTGGATATTGTAATCACCAACATTGTACCAAGGATGGAGCGGGTTTTATCATCACGAGCATTGCACGAACCTCTTTATGTATCACGTACCTGGCAGGAGCGTATCTTGCAGCAACCTAATGGCTTACGATTCAACTCTGGCAGAGAAACCAACACCTTCAAAAAGGGCCATGTGCAGCTTATCCGATTTGCACCCCATGTTCAAACCTTGTATGTTTCTCTCTTGGACGTTCGTTTCGATGATCTCTTTTGCCAAGCACATTTTTCCAGATTAAAAGAGCTGTTTTTAGAATGTAAGCGTGGATGAAAGCATGTTACATGGAATGATGGATGCGAATGACACTTTTTCTTTTATTAGGTGATCGTACAACGCCCCACCTCCCAGTGATCCATGGTCTGCAAATGATTGCTGATTCCCTGACACACTTGACCATGTTTGGGTGCCGCGGCCTTCAATTACGTGATATCCTGGAGACATGTCCCAATCTTGTATTCCTTAAAGCAACACATGGTAGAGCTATTTTGCCTCTATCGCCTTCGTCGATTTATCCCAAGATGAAGCATCTTGCACTTCACCGACGCTTAAAACGCCCACGCAAACATGAGGATATGGTCGATGTCATAAGACGATTTCCTTCCTTACGTATGCTGGAACTTACGCCGATGGCCGAATCCAGTCTCTTGCCTCTCCTACACAAGCATTGTCCTTATTTGCTGGCCGTTGTTTTCGAAAACTCATGCCGCATCTTTTATCGAGTTACAGAAATTGTCTATCCAAATCGAAAAGGGATCGAAACAGTATATCTAGAAGGCTGCAACTTTTATAAGCAAGATGACCTGATTCAGTTCCTACATCCGCAAAGAGATTCATTACAGCTCTTCCAGTTTCATGGAGATATTGAGATCAATGATAATGCGTCTTGGGCAATATGGAATGGACATGTTCAGCATCATCATCATCAACAACAACAGCCTCCTGATTACAGCCCGTCATTTCCGCAACTGATGGATTTTCATCTTACAAATATCCATCCATCCACTACAGGTGTGCCTATGACACTGTGGATCCTATTAAATGCACACAATCTCGCCACCATCCATATCCATGATACCTATTTTCGACCTAACATTGTCAACGCTATGATCAAGTTGAATCATCTCCAAAAAGTGCATATCGATGTTGTATCCAACGAGAACGACGATAGCATTCACCAGTTTTTGGGGCACCATATTGCGCTAGGAAATCGCTCAACGCTCAAGGATGTGATTGTGGAAACGACGCATATCGAGATTTCTGCAAAGCCGTGGATGCCTTTACTTTCAAAATTGCCGCGTCTCAAGAACCTGGAATTACTTGCTGCAGCCATTTCAGAAAATTGCATCCCTCTCATGGAGGAGATAGGTCAAGGGTGTCCCGCTCTCGAAAATTTAATTCTCGGCATGGATGGTGCAGAGTTGGCTGATGGCCTCTTGCCGCCTTTACGCAGGCATCCGAATCTCAAATGGCTCAAGATTGGAGCAGATGAACCTTTATCCAACCACGACCTTATGGCTTTATGTACATTCCGTAGCCTAAAAGAACTCATACTTCTATTCACTATTACAGAAGTTGATTTGCTTGAGATGTTAAATGACCATATCCCCATTGTCGAGATTGAAATTGATGATAATGAATAAAGTCATCACACTTTTTTATTCTTCAATGGTTTGTTTTGGTGTGAGAGTCGTCACATCCTATAGTTACAATCCCATTTCATGCAGCTGAGATGAGTTCCTTGTGCTCAAATCACGTTTTGCTTCGTCTTCACACCTTCGCTTTTACTGCTCGGTCCTACTCAAACGCTCACATACTACAACAAATGGCAACAATAGTTGACATTGCCTGGTCCGAATTGCTAAAGAACACCAATCTCACAGCTCAACATGGTAATGACGGCAACCGAATTGCCACAGCAACCGAAACTTTGCAACAAGCAGTCCACCATTTCGCCAAAGTCCTTAATGACCGTGCCAAGTTGCTAGCCAACAGTGCCCAGTTTGATGCAGCGTTACGCGATGCAGCAGCCATAAGAGCCTTATTACCGAGATCAGGGATTGGATACTTGACGACGGGGGACGTGTACTGTCAACAAGGTCATCATGCAGCAGCGATTACCATATACGACCAAGGCCTTGAAGCAGTGCCTGAATCAGATCCATGTCATCAGCAGCTTCAGCAACAGCGCATGACAGCAATAGCCAACAACAACAAACGCATCGATTTCATCAGCCGATTACCATTGGATATTGTTGTCACCAACATCATTCCCAGGGTGCAATGCCAGGTCTATTGTGATATCTTATCCGAATACCTTTATGTATCACGTGCATGGCAGGAGCGTTTCTTGAAGCAACCTAACGGCCTGTACTATTATTTTGGCTCCGAGAATCACCGTTCCTATCAGCAAGCTAATGAATTCTGGCACCACCTCTTCTCAAATAAGGAGGACACGTTCAAGATGGGCTATCCACAACTTGGCCCGTTTGCTCCCTATATACAGAGCTTAAGGGTCCCGATGGGCGACATTCTTTTGGATGATCTCTTTTCTCGTGTACATTTTTCAAATCTAAGGGTATTAGATATCCATTGTAAGTACATATGAATGATGTTTATGATGATCGATGTGATTGATCTGGTTCAATACTAGGTCATTATTCGACGCCTCGTGGTCCCATACTAAGTGGCCTCCAAATGGTTGCTTCTACGCTTACGCGCTTGGAAATCGTGGATGGTTATTGTCTTGGATTACGTGATATTTTGGAATCATGTCCCAATCTTGTGTCTTTGACAACAGATGGAGTGAATGCGACCATGCCTTTATCAACATCTTATCCCAAGATGAAGCATCTATCAATCCACAGACTATCGAGAACACCTCTTGCGTATGATACGGTAGCGAATCTCCTCAGCCGACTTCCTTCTTTATTGTCATTCGATATCACGCCAATGCCTGATTCCAGACTCTTGACCATTCTATACGATCACTGTCCCTATCTACAGAGGCTCAATTTTGGTGGCAGAAGTTTTTCATCAAGCAACGCTGAGGTCCATCCAAGTCGCAAAGGGATCACGTTGGCGCACCTTAATGGCTACGGGCACTCTTGTATGCAAGGTTATCTGATTCAGTTTTTGATCACGCATCAAAGCTCATTGGAAACGTTTGGATGTGATAGCGAGTTTATCAGGCATGAGGATGCTCTTTGGGACGTATCGAGTGATGCACGACTTTTATGGCTGAATGGTGGCGGTCGAGGCAACCCAACTCACTCAGAGAGTGCTTCATTCACACGATTGGCCAACATTCGTTTCTCGGAAGGGTGTTCATTTTCTTGCGGGCCTTTTATTGCATGGATGGTAAAGAACGCGCCCAATCTCAAAACCATCAGTCTTATCGAACGACACTTACAACCTATTGTCGCCATCGCCTTGATCAAGTCGAAGCATCTTTCAAAGATAGAGATCACTCGGTTGTGGGAAGATGACGATATCTTTTTCGGTGACTTTGAAGGCATCCTTGAGTTCTTTCAGCATCACATTTCAATGGGAGATCGATCCACGCTCCAAGAGGTCACCCTACATACTGGTTTGCGCTTGTCTCCTGAGATAGAGTGGATACGTCTTATACCCAGACTAAAGTGTCTCAAGAACCTGGAATTACTCGCCCATTTCATTCCCGAGGATTGCATACCCTTATTGGAAGCGATAGGTAAAGGTTGTCCTGCTCTTGAAAAGTTAACGCTCGGTAAGAAGGATGGCACGATTGGTGGTGGTCTCATGAAGTCTTTGCGTGAATACCCAAATCTCAAATGTCTCCATATCCAAGCAAGCGCTTTATCTGACAACGACCTTGTCGCCTTGACAACATTCCCTAGTTTAGAACAGCTTTATCTCCAATGTGATGTCCCTGATTTTATTATGAAGAGTCTGCATAAACGTATACACAAAGTCATTATTAAATAAAGATGATTGTACTTTTCCAGGAAAATGAAGCATGCTCGTTTCCATGACGACATTTTCAAACGTCCGCTGACTTATTATGCACGCCTTGACACCTGATGCCATGGATTTACTTTTAACGCTCTTTCGATGATTCACTCTATTTGGAACGACGTCTGTCAACAACCAACGCTTGCTGCCAATCATCAACATTACGAAAAGCATGTTTCGGATTCAACGGCACAGCTACAGCAATGCATTTCAAACATCCTCGCCCTACTAGACGATCGTGCCAGTGTCTTGACTCGTTGTGTCAACTTTGCTGCTGCTCTTCGTGATGCAACTGCCATGCAAGAAATCTCGCCAATGTCACCTCTTGGCTATTTACGTGCAGCCACCATTTACAGCGAGCAAGGTAAACAACAAGATGCTATAACGAGTTGCTACAAGGGACTCAATGCTCTTGATATCAATGATCCTGGATACAGCAAACTTGAAGAGACCAGACTAGTTGCTACGCAACGTACCGCTCGCCGTATTGATTTTATCAGCCAACTACCACTTGACATTGTGTTGCATGTGCTTTTCCCGATGCTTATGGGTGATGATAATGATGATGGCGTGTATGACGACTGGGATCTATGTCCCTATTTGGATGTGTCAAGGATGTGGTTTGAGCGGCTCTTTCAGGCATGCAGCGGTGAATTTCATTTCAAGCTTAACACTAACCGCCCCAGCAACCGGATTACTCGATATGCACAACATACGATGACATTACGTATCAACTCCTATTCTCTGGGAAATTGGTATTCTGATTTTTTGCGTGATGCAAACCTGTGCTCTTTGTGGGAGATAAAGATTACAGGTAGGACATAGAAAGGATATTCGATGACCTGGTATTGATTTCAATGTTCGATTAGGTCTCCATGCTATTAAGGATGTGGATTATTTTGTTTCATCATTAAAATCCGTCGGCAATACTTTGACTCAATTGACTATTATGAGCCGGCCAAGCAGACCCTTTGCTCCAAGATCATATTTTACTGATACGGCGAACGAACCTCAACCGCCTCTACGGATAGCAGACATCTTGATCAATTGCCCTCATTTGGTGACGTTGCATATTACCTATCGATTCGATATCGATTTCAGTGCTGTCCCTCTGACCAAGACTTGGCCGCAACTCACGATGTTATTCCTGAGCCATCGTAACAGCGACATTTCCAATGGCCAATTCGTAGCCATGTTGAAGCGACTACCTTCACTATACAAGCTTGTGCTTTATCCATGCATCGAAACACAGCCCATGACGACGATACAACGCTACTGCCCATCCATGAGAGAGCTTGAACTCGTAACAAAACGCACCGAATCATCACCAGCACGATTGGAACACCAACACGATGACCAGTGGATACACGAAGGAGCTGGATTGAAGAGAATCACGCTTTTGGAAGATACACAACAACATGACGCTTGGATAGATATGAGCGAGACGCTAAAGCAACATCACAATACACTTGTTCACCTTCGATTGCGTTTGGATTATGCAGGCAACAACGACCATGAGATTTTCAGCTTGGAATATCCTTGTCTCAAAGCACTCAATCTTCAAATCAACAATCTGAACAATGTTTGCTTCGGATGGTGGATAATTGAAAAGGCACCGCTTCTTGAGGAATTGAAAATTACAGCAGATGTCATCAGGTTGAATCCTGTGCTACTCAATTTCACACCACCACCTACTCTAAGAAAACTAGTGATGCACCTTTATGGTGTAACTCGCCCTGATGACGTGACAGTGATTGAACGATTTCTGGGCTGCTTTAATCAACAAAAAGAGGGGTGTTCGATAAAGCATTTAGCGCTGCGTTTCGACAACCGCGGTGGTGATGATGTTACTCCCGATATACTTCTTCCTTCCATCTCCCAATTGGACCAGCTTCAGCATTTAGGGATATTGTATTCTCCGATAGAGCCAACGCTATGGATGTTTGATGATTTTATATTGAAGCTTGTGAAAGCGTGCCCAAACCTATTATCTCTTGAGACGGATAATGACATCTCTTCTCGCGCTTATGTCATCAAAGACCTAAAAAGGTTTCAACATTTACGACATATCACTTTTAGAATGGATGCCACTGGGTCCGAGAGTTCTAAGGGCGAATGGGATGATTCTAATCAATGGTATGCTTTTGGAACCTTTTCACAGCTAAGGTCTATTCGCGTCTGGTCGTATGGTGAGGTGAACCACGTCTTCATAAGATATCTGAAAGCTCACAGACCTGACATAAACGTTGTGGCCCTCTGATTTCCTCGTGTTATTTTTGAACCTTACATTAAGTTTGTTTGATTATGTATGACTTCCACCCATCATCCTTCCTTCATGCCATCAGTCAGCTCTACTTTTGTTGTAACGCATTGATTTACAATAAAGTTACATCCATCATCTGGTGTTATTCATTACAGTCAACATGGTTACGCCAAACTTTCATATACATCAGCTTGGATGAAGAGATTTGATTACGATTTCGTTTATGTGAGCGAGGTGAAAGTAGGCGCATATCATCTAATGGTATGTTTGGAGCCATGTCGTTCGAGCTTGTAATGTAACGTAGCCCAACATAGATAGAACGCAGATGACAGCTCTTAGTAATTCCACGTGTTACAGGCTGCCTAGTCTTTATAACCCACCGACCCAATATGTCATGCAAGATACACTTGCTTAATGTCCTGCTTGCTTCCTCACCGATATAACCACTTCCATTGACAACCTCGTGGTAATCAGCCTGAGGACACACATGAAGCACTTTGTTGCCGTTTATGCATTATGATAGCAAAGACCATTTTCCATCCCCCTGACGAGTTTTTATATACCCTCTTCCTGCTCATTGCCTCTTTGAAAACTTCCAAATCCCCTTCATATCCACCACATGGACCGTTAAAGATAACATAACGACGACTTTATCCACTTGACCTTGTCTACGTATTGGTAGAATAGTGATGTTGTGCGAAGATTCAAAATGATGGGTAGCGAAGGGTGATCTGATATAGGGTCTTCATCCATAGTAAGATGCACGTGCCAGTACCATAGCATGCTTGTCACCTTGTCCCTTTGTCGTCAAGTCACCAACCCTTCGTCAATAGATTTGTCGAACAGCGTATATGATGTATCCCTTAGCACCTCTTCTCTTGCATGCAACATGGCAAATCATCCAATCCAACATCCCTGTCCTTGTCCAGTTGGCATGATCCAATCGCCATCGTGCTCAAAGTTGCCGCCACATCCAAGAAAACGTCCAGGAACCTCACTTTCCAGAATTCATCCTTCATCCTCAGGTTGACATTCCACGTGATGCGTGATAGTACCGATATGCTCTTGATTACTGATCCAGATGTACCTTGAGTGCCATACGTCTTAGCTGAAGTCGATCCTCGCTTGACATCGTGAAGCTCGTTTCCACCAACATCCAACTAAATCATGCATCACCCCCCGGCAACCGCTCCTATTCGATATTAAAGCTTCTTAGATACCACATCTCTACCGCCCTCTTAATCCATCCTGCTGTTTACCTTGATACGATGATGTAGCTGAATAAGAGAGATTGGATAGGATGCCATGTGGGTGATCAAATGTGTGTGTTGAAGCTGTCTCGCGTGATGCTCAATGTATGGCCCTGCTACTGAGAAAGGTAGATACGCTGGATGCAGTCACCATGACATGCTGCAACACAACGGGGTGAAAAAGAATAGCTTGTATCATGCAATATGGTCTTGACACCAGTGAGCTTGTCAAAGGTCGTAATCCGGAAGAAGCAATGGCGCGTTTGTTGAGGAGTTCTGGCAAGTGAGTTATTCAGTTGACGTGAGGTACTCTGTCGGGTGCTACTGAAGAAAGAGATGTGTCGAACAAGTGGTTGTGGCAAGTGCCATTGGGAGCGAGTGAAGGAGTGAGACGAGGTTGGTGCTGAGAAGAAGGTTGACGAAGATCATCATGCCACCACGTCTGCTGTTTTTTTATCCCCTCTTTCAAAGTGTGGTCATCATGTGACACAAGCGCATCATCATCCAGTAACATGCACAAGGAGAAATGTATGACGGTGTCCATTGATAGATAGTGGTGTCCATGATTTTATTATGGAGTTGCTCATTAAACTAATACTCAAAGTGATTATTATTGAATAAAGATATATACAACGCTTTCTTTTTATTCAATGTTAGCAAATATACACCTTTCTAGGATAACACTTCAAGCATACCCCCTTGAATTTTCATGCACAAGATGTTTGACACCCGACCTCCTTGATGATGCGACGTACAACCTTCTTTCGATGATTCACACGTTTGCACCCAGCTCTCACGCTCCCACAAGGCCGTTTTGTGATTCAACGACACGACTCAAGCACTCTCTTTGGAACGACATCTGTCAACAACCAACTCTTGCTGCCAATCGTCCACATTACGCAAAGCGTGTTTCGGATTCAACGACCCAGCTACAGCAATGTATTCAAAACGTACTCAACGTCTTAAACGAGCGTGCCGTTGTCTTGACTCGTTGCGCCAACTTTGCTGCTGCTCTTCGTGATGCGACCGCCATGCAAGAACTTTCGCCATTGTCACCTCTTGGCTATTTACGTGAAGCCGCTATTTACAGCGAACAAGGTAGACAGCAAGCTGTTATAGACATATCCAACGAGGGGCTCAGTGTTGTTGATATCACTGATCCTGGATACAGCAAGCTTGAAGAAGTTAAAATGGTCGCTATGCAACGTGTTACCTGTCGCATTGATTTTATCGGCCAACTCCCGCTTGACGTTGTGACAGATGTGCTTTTCCCGATGCTTTTGGGTGATGATGATGGAACATTGGACGGCAAGAAGCCATGTCCCTATTTGGATGTCTCAAAGAGGTGGCTTGATCGTGCCATTGAGGCAGGTGGTGGTGGATTGCATTTCAACATAGCCAGCGAGAACACCTACGACGAGCTTATTCGATTTGCTCAACATACAAAGGCAATACACGGTACCATTCATGCAGGTGTTGGTGGATTGCATTTCAACGTAGCCAACCAGAACGCCTACGCCGAAGTCATTCGACACGCTCAGCATACAAAGTCAATACGTATTGAACTCTATCAGCAAGGAAATTGGCTCTCTGAATTATTTCATCGTGCAAACCTATGCTTTTTGCGGGAGTTAACGATTCAAGGTACTTGAAAGGAGAAGGAGGAGTATGTATTGAATGGCATGTAAATTGAGATTTATCATTGATTAGGCCTCGACGAGTATTCTACCGATGCGGATCACCTTGTTTCATCACTAAAATCCGTCGGCAGCACTTTGACTCATTTGACTTTTACGACGACCAGTCGAATGCTCATGCTACAAATGATACGACTTGGTAGACCGGGTCTACCCGAACGACCTCTACGTGTAGCAGACATCTTGATCAATTGCCCCCATTTGGTGATGTTGCATATTGACTATCCATTCGATACCGATTTCAGTGCGATCCCATTGACAAAGACATGGCCACAACTCACAACCTTACGTATGGACTATTATAACGGCGTCACTCTCAATGGACAATTCTTAGCCATATTGAAGCGGTTTCCTTCACTCAAGAAGCTTGTGCTTCATCGATGTATTGAAACACAACCCATGACAATGATACAACGCTATTGCCCTTCCATGAGAGATCTTCAACTCAGGATAAAACACACTGAATCATCATCATCATCATCATCACCATCATCAGAACGATTTGAACAACAACATCAAGAGCAGTGGATGAGAGGACACCGTGGTGGATTGGAGAAAATATCGATTTCCCAAGATTCACGAAGCGGTGATGCTTGGATGGATATGGGCAAGGTGCTACAGCAACATCACAATACGCTTGTTCACCTCGAGTTGAGTTTGGATTATGCAGGCAACAATGATGATGATCTTTTCAACCTAGAATTTCCTTGTCTTAAAACACTCGCTCTTCAATGCCATGGTTCGGACAATGCTTGCTTTGGATGGTGGATTATGGGGAAAGCACCGTTCCTTGAGGAATTGAGCATCACTACATGGGCCATCGCATCGCATCCTACCGTTCTCGATATCATACCACCATGCACTCTAAGAAAACTAGACATCAATTTACTTGGTATCAAGGAGCCAACAACCATCGAGAGGTACCTCAACCAATTTGCGCAACAAAAGGAATGGCCTTCGCTAAAGGAGCTCAAGATACATTGTGACTTTGATGGGGATATTCCTGCGACCATTGTTGCTTCTATATGCAGCTTGAAAAGTCTTCAGCATTTGGCAATATCTTCTTCGCGACTAACGAGGCTATCGGGATTGGATCATTTTACAAAAATGCTTGCTGAAGGGTGCCCGCTCTTGCTATCTCTTGAATTGAAGGACAACATGCCGCCGTCTTCTCATGTAATCAAGCCCCTGAAAGGACTTCAACATCTGCGACACCTCGCTTTTCATATGGATTGCTCTGATAATTATACCGATTTATGGGATGCATTTCGAACGCTTTCGCAGCTAAAGTCTATCCGGCTCTTTTCGATGCGTGATAGGGTGAACCACAAGTTCATTGAATACCTCAAAGATCAAAGACCTGATATAAAAGTTGTGACCCCCCGCTGATTGTCCTCAAATCTTTCCTTCATACAAATCAATAAATCTCCATGTCATCATCCTCTGTATCGATCATCCAGCTCTACTTCTGTTACAATGTATAGATTTACAATAAACGTATCCGTCATCTTGTGTTATTTATTACTGCCAACATGATCAGCTGAGAATACAATGCATGTATATCGTCTATAGTTCACCAGCAAACGTTGATATACATCGGCATGGATGAAGGATTTTGCGTTTATGTGTATATGAGCGGGATGAAAGCATGGGTACATCATTCAACAGGATGTACGTCATCCGAACTTATAATATAACGCACCGCGACAACAGCACAAAAATGACATCTCTCGATCATTCCATTTGTTAGAGGTTGTTGCCTATTCTTTAACGTCCACCGACCAAGTATGTCACGGCATTGATTGCTAGATACACATGCTTAAATCCATCGTATATACCCCACCAACGTCCTTGATCCATTTACATTTGACGACCTCTCTGAAATCAGTCTCAGGGCACACATGAACCTCGCGTTGCTTGTCCATGTTGATAGCAAAACCATCCTCATCCCACTAACGAGTTTATATAAACCCTCTTCCTGCTCATTGCCTCTTTGAAAGATTCCATAACCCCTCCAAATGCACCTTTAAAGATAATATAAAGACGACTTTATCCACTTGACCTTGACTATATATTGATAAAATTGCGATGCTGGTAGATTTGTGTGGCAAAAGGTGGCCTGATGTAAGGTCGAAGAAGCACCTCCATAGTAAGGCGTGTACATTCCAGTACCATAGCATGCCTGTCACCTTTTCCTTTTGTCTCCAGGTCATTAATGTTTCATTCAACGATAGGTTTGTCGTAGCAGCGTCGCGCAGTGCTAATCGCCTTGGGATGTAACATGACAAATCGTTCTCATCATCATCACCATCCCCATCCTTGTCCAGTTGGCATGATCCAGTCGCGTCATCGTGTGCAAAGTTGCTGCCACATCCCCAAAAAAACGTCAAGCAACCTCACTCTTCTCATCCATCCTTCATCCTCAGGTTGATGTCACGTGTTGGTGTGTGATAATGTCGATATCCTCTTGATTACTGATCCAGATACCTGAGCGCCATGTGTCTTAGCTTTAGAAGTCGATGTTCAATTGATATCGGAAGTTCGTTTCCTCCAACGCCCAAGTCAATCATACTTTCCCCAGCGACTGGCCCTATTCCATGTTGAAGCATGTTAGATATCATATCTCTGCCAACATCCTAATCCATCCTACTGTTTACCTTGATACGATGATGTAACTGAATAAGGGTGTTTGGGTAGGAATTCATGTGAGTGATCCAATGGGTGTGTGTGTTGAAACTGCCTCACGTGGTGATCAATGCAAGGCCTTGCTGTCGAGATTGGAGATATCATATGATGGGTTCAGTCGGCTTGCTGCAACGCGACGCGTGAAAAAGAGTAGCTCGTATAATGCAATATGGTCGTATCCACCAGTAAGCTTGTCAAAAGTCGTCATCGGGAAGAGCGATTGCTGTTCACTGTACGCGTTAATTGTGGCAAGTGCGTTATCCAATTGGCTAATGTGCTGTGTCATGTGCTGCTGGAGAAAGAGATGTATCGAAAAAGTGGTTGCTGGAAGTGTCATTGAGAGCGAGCGTTGGGTTGAGATGAAGTTGGTGTTGAGAAGGTTGAACAAGCCCCCATGCCACCCAGGAAATTCACTTGAAGAACCGACTGGAAAGTAAAATTAGCTGAAAAGTTTTCAGTAACACGTTCTTTGCTCTTGCGCAGTTTTCTAGTATACAACCATAGGGATTGTTGCATATACGTGCATTATTGTGTCTATTTAATCTCAATGTTCACACGTACTCACGTGCCATACTTACAGCAACGTTGTTTATTCTTCTCGATTGTGTTATGCTGTCTATGCCTGTGAAGATGCCACAATGTACGAGGCTTGCCAGCCGTGTCCAGAATGCTGCTCATAGATGTAATCTTATACCATATTTCAGTAGACCATGATCGATCGCGAAGTTGCTATTGTCAAATAACGTCATTGTACGATTCGTACCCAAAAATGGTACAGGGCATGATAGCACCTTTTGGCACTTGAAAAACTGGCAGCAGTAAGAATCTCGTTTCCATAAGTGGGCCTGCTTTAGGATTGAAGGATCATGATCCATTACATAGCAATCATTCTCCCTTTAGTGTGTATCCTGCTACATAAATGATAAACCACCCTGTAAGATGCTAATGCAAATACGCAGAGAGAGGTGCGACATGCCCTTAATGTATTGGATGATCACAAGCGTCATGTTGTTGATGCATATCTTAAGAGAGAGGCGCGCCCCAACCACCCCATTTTGTCGAGTGAAACATTGTTTACGCCAAGACGAGAAATCAGATATTCACACCCTTTTACCTTCATCAACACGATAAGGGGAATGACTCCGTCATGCATTAAAAAGATACCAACCGGTTATGCTCTTCCACGGTGTCTTTCTTTCTTTGCTTTCATCTTCTTTATTCACACACACGCAAGCCTTTCCAATGGCACGAAAAGCTTTTTGATTTCCCTCCCAAGGTACGTGTACGTTGGTGTATATGGGCACTGTAGCATCAATCATTGACAATACTGCATAGGAAAAAGATGTCGTCTGGTCCCTACGTTTTGACACAGTTGTTGGCGCGTATGGCTTATCAAGTTTCTCCTCTTGGAATTGAAGGCTACACACCATGCTCATGAAGTGGGTTTATCACACACTACGCATCAATGAAGAGAAGTACATTTTATTTCATGGGAGCATGTTACAAAGGATCTCATTTCTTCTATATCTAGTTTTCTTTTGCCCATGTTGAGCTGACCATCTCCATGTGGGCTGACAACACGGGGTTCTTAGATGCACTATGATTGTTGGGAAGAGCTTGGTCAGGAGCTTGTAGATCCACTTTTACAGCTGCGGAGAGCCTTGTGGATTCCTTTCTTTGGTACCTTCAAGGTAAGTTATGAAGCATTATGGTCAATGCTATTTTGGTTTTGACAACATTTATTTTTAGGGCCATTTACCATATGAATTGCCGTTATGCCTCTGTCTTAGGTGTGGCGGTAATGGCCGGCACGGTGCGAGTCCGCTGAAGCTCATTTTGTCTGAGGAGATTGGGACAGCGATCGAGGATTCATTCAATTTCTGGCTGAGGGCTAAATCAGCGGGGACCATCAGCTTTCGGGTTTGACAGTGTCCTCGCGATTAAATACGTGGTAAGTGCTTTTTATTGGACTGCTGAGATTACAAAAAAGCTAACAGTGAATTTCCTGGGTGCGTAACTACAAGTCCATGCCACGCCACGTTTTTTCCTTATCAAATAGGGATATCATATGACACGAGCTCATTCCGCTTGACACCATCCCATCCACAAGGAAAAAGACATGGCTGTGTCGAATGATGGACCCAAGTCGTGTACCATGGATACATCTTGTACCTGGCATATTACATCGGATGAGATCGTGAGAGGCCATCTTCTTGGGTGCATACGTACGTATGCATGTGCGCCCATCTACAGTATAGGCAGGAGAATCATTGATGTGCGGATGTCTCAAGCTGACTCTTTCTAAGTTCATGCAAAATAAAGCAGCACATAGACGATCATTTTCTTACAACAAAGCTTACATTGGTATACGACTTGATGATTGTATGTATGGTTGCGTTATATTCACAATCGTTGCCGAAATTGGATGATGGGCGTTTATTGGCATCGCTTTCGTACGTAGCACATACGTATCCACACTATTTGCCCTGGGAATAGCGCACTCAGTAAATGGCCCCTTGAATTATCTCCGTGATAGCATCACAGTGCGCATGTATGGTCTTGGGTACCAAAGAGGTGAATAAAAGGAACAACGCATACCGCTCTAAACGATCAAGATACCGTGTACAATGCGGTTGTGAAGCCTGCACTTCCACTTTTCGTATCATTTGGTAAACATGCATATACGCCATATGCAATGGAAGATGTGCATCATCGTTGCCAGCATTTGAAACTCCTATGAAACATACCCTCCCTAAACCTTCCAATTTCACAATTATATAAATGGTGGTAGTGCTGGCGTTCAGTAGGATACATCACTACGCAACCAGGATGAATTTGAAGCTTTCCGTTTTTATCACCCTTGCCTTCTTTGCGCTCACGGTGTTGTCTCAGCCTCATCCCAACGAGCCAAACCAAGCCGCTGCTGATTCTTTCCTTACACAACCTACCCCCGAGGAATGCGTGAAACTACATTGCGAAAAGATACCTGAAGGCAAGAATCGCGCAGTTTGTATTGCCCAATGCGCGGGATAAAATGATGCATATCGATATATTATAAGTAGTCATGAATTATACACCTTATAATTCGCTTGTCTTATATATGGATTGTACATGTAATTGATCCTGTTATTAAACCTCTTGGCGTTCTATCTTTTAATAATCATGCTCTCTATGATATGTGGGCGAGGGTCAATGTATACATCTACGTAGCATATGAGGTATTAGAGCGTGTCATATGTACGTCGTCTTCTGGCTAGTAGCTGCCGCAACCAAGTAGCATGTCTTCAAAATACAGCCTCCAATTCATATACGGTAATCGTTTTAGTTGAAGTGATACGTCTGTTTTGCGTGATAGTGGAGAATACAAAGTGCTTTGTGGTGATGCTGTTTGTTTGGCCCACGCGATATCTTCGGACCTGCTTCCTTTATGTAAATGTTTACACGCGTTTGACAGCACATGCAACATGCCGTGTATTAACGACATCTCAAGCTCACATTGGGTCGTCCACTATGTGAATGCTATAGCGATAGCTTTGATACTAGAGAAAACTTGTAAGTCATGTTGATGTGCCAATTACTGGGCGCTCATGAACTGGATGCATCACATGAATTTGTCTGAGCAATGTGTACCAGATCAATGCGTGAATACAAACTCCACTGGCTTTTTCTTGGAGCAAGATCAATGCCCGATAGCAAGCTTGTTGCCTTGGCAACATCTCCCCAATTTGGAACGGCTTTATCTTGAATGTAATGTCCCTGATTTTATTACGAAGATGCTCCTTTAACGTATGTATCCAAAGTCATTATTGTATGATGATTTCTTTTTATTCAATGATTGATGATGCATATACACCTTTCTAGGATAGCACTTCAAGCATCCCCCTGAATTTTCATGCGCAAGATGATGTTTGACTCCCGACCTCCTTGATGATGCGACGTATACAACCCTCTTTCGATGATTCACGCGTTTGCCCCCAACTCTCACGCTACCGCGACACGACTCAAGGACCCTCCTTGGAACAACATCTGTCAACAACCCACGCTCATTGCCAGTCGTCCACATTACGCCAAGCGTGCTTCTCATTCAACGACACAACTACAGCAATGCATTCAAAACGTCCTCAACGTGTTAGACGATCGTGCCATTGTCTTGACTCTCTCTGCCAACTTTGCTTCGGCCCTTCGAGATGCGTCTGCCATGCAAGAACTCGCGCCATTGTCACCTCTTGGCTATTTACGTGCAGTCGCCATTTACAGCGAACAAGGTAGACAACGAGCTGTTGTGAATGTTTGCAACAAGGGACTCAGTGTTGTTGATACCAAGGGTCCTGGATACAGCAAGCTTGAAGAGGCCAAAACGGTTGCCATGCAACGTGACGCCTGTCGCGTTGACTTTGTCGGCCAACTCCCACTTGAGATGGTGATGGATGTGCTTTTCCCGATGTTGGGTTATGATGGAAGATTGGACGGCAAGAAGGGATGTCCCTATTTGGATGTGTCAAAGACGTGGTTGGACCGTGCCCTTCAGACAGCTGGAGGAGGATTGCATTTCAACATAGCCGACCAGTGCTCCATCACCGAGGCTGTTCGATATGCTCAGCATACAAAGACAATACACATTGAAAACAGCTCTCAGGGATTATGGCTATGTTATTTCTTTCAGAAGCGTGCAAACTTTTGCTCTTTACAGGAGTTGACGATTAAAGGTACAGAATACATGTATAGGGTGATGTGTATGTACGTATTGGAATTACCCTAACTCAAGTGATTGATTAGGTCTCAAGGGTTACACCGCTTTGCATGACCTTGTTTCATCATTTAAAGCCGTCAGCAATACTTTGACTCATTTGACTATTTGGAAACCGACCATGGGAGCATTTCAGCCAATACATCCTCTACATGTAGCAGACATCTTGATCAATTGCCCCCATTTGGTGATGTTGGATATTGTTTATCGATTCGATGCCGACTTCAGCGCTGTCCCATTGACAAAAACATGGCCGCAACTCACAACTTTATCACTGAACTGTCGAAACAGCGTCATTTTCAATGGCCAATTCGTGGAAATCTTGAAACGACTTCCTTCACTCAAAAAGCTTATGCTTACTGCATGCATTGAAACACAACCCATGACAATGATCCAACACTATTACCCTTCCATGATAGCTCTGCAACTCAAGGCAAAATACAAATCCGCATCATCATCATCATCATCAGAACGACTTGAACAGCAACATCAGGATCGGTGGATGAGAGCAGGACGTGGTGGATTGGAGGAAATATCGTTTTCAGGAGATACACGAGACGGCGACACTTGGATACACATGAAGCGCAATATGCTACAGCAACATCACAATCTTGTTCACCTCGAGTTGAATTTGGATTATGCTGGCAATAATGATGATGACCTTTTCAACGTGGAATTTCCTTGTCTTAAAACACTCGCTCTTCAATGTCGTGGTTCGAGCAATGCTTGCTTTGGATGGTGGATTATGGGGAAGGCACCGCTTCTTGAGGAATTGAGCATTACTACATGGGCTATTGAATCGTATCCTGCCCTAGACGATTTCACACCACCACACTCTCTAAGGAAACTAGTAATGAATGTACGTCATACCGGCACACATGATCGCCCCATGGCGATCGAGGGATTCCTCCACCAGTTTTCGCAACAAAAGGAAAAGTCTTCTCTAAAGGAGCTCAAGATACATTACGATGATGGCAATCGGGAAATTCCTGTCACCCATGTTGCTGCTATTTGCAGTTTGAGAACCGTTCAGCATTTGACAATATCGTATTCCCTACTATGGAAGCAATCGAAAATGGATTATTTTACAAAGATGCTTGCGGAAGGCTGCCCAAATTTAATATCTCTTGAATTGATTGGCCCCGGGCATCCGTCTGCTTATGCGATCAATCTCTTGAAACGTCTTCAACATTTGCGTCACCTCGCTTTTCACATGGATAGCACTGATCAATATCGCGACTTTTGGTATGCTTTTCGAACATTTCCACAGCTCAAGTTTATTCGGATCCTCTCAGCGGGTGGTATGGCGAATCCCGAGTTTGTCAGCTATCTCAAAGGTCTCAGACCGGATATCAAAGTTACGACTTAAAGGTTTTCCTCATGTTATTATATAGCTTCCAACCCATGATGTTCCCTTCATGCAACTCAATAAATTTCCGTGTCATCATCCTCTGTGTATCGATCATCAAGCTATACTTTTGTTATAATGTATTGGTTTCCAATAAAGCTATCCATCATCTACATAGCGCTAGTTATTACAGCCAACACGGTCGACTGAGAATACAAGAGGGCCACGTGTCTATCTTTCACCAAACTTTGATATACATACCTTAGCTTGAATGAAGAGACTTAATCATGATTTCCTTTATGTATGCCAGCGAAGTGAAAGTATGTATGCAGCACATCATCCAACAGCATGTATGAAGCCACGTCGTCCAAGCTTGTAATGTAATTTACCTCAACATAGATAGCATACAAATGACAGCTCTCAGTGATTATACGTGATACAGGTAGCCTATTCTTTATCACCCATACGATATATACTACCAAGGATGACTGCATTGGCCGCTGCCAATTAGCTCGCACCAGCTTCATTGATTGTTATTTTAATTGCTTATCTTGAAAATGATCAGTCGTTGCGAATTAGTATTGCACTTTACAAGCCGCTGGCCATTTGTTTGGATCGTATACCATTGATCTTATCATTAAACCACTTTGGCATTTTATCTTTTATATATAATACATCTGCTATGTGTCATGTAGGCGAGGATCAATGGTTATTTCTTTCATCATAAGCTAGAATAGCATTCAATGCTAAAACGCAATCTTCTATACTGATATCAGACTGGCTAAATTCTACTTTGGCTATTTCCCACTGCCATTGGTGCTATTTATCCGGTGGTTGATTATCCCACGATTTGTATTTCACCAGCAACCAAATATGAGGCATGGCATACATGATCTTCTGGTTGGCTGCCGCAATCATAAAGTATATCTTCAAATGCATCCTCAATTTAATGCGTGGTAATGTGGAAAATAAAGCGCCTTTGGATGGCATCGTTTATTTGGCCAATGTGTGAGAAGATCAATGCATGAATACAAACTCCACTGCCACCTCCTCCTGACTGATCCTGCTCTGCTTTTCCTCTCTGTTGCTCTCAATCGCACTCGCACACCACTACAAATGACCGTTGTCGAGTACATTAGCTGGCCCGAATTACTGAAGAACACCATTGTCACAGCTCAACATGGTAATGACGGCAACCGAATTGCCACGGCAACCAAGACTTTGCAACAAGCAGCTCACCAACTCGTCAAGGTGCTCAATGAACGTGCAAGACTTTTCGCGAACAGTGCTCAGTTTAGTACAGCGTTACGTGATGCAGCAGCCATAAGGGCCATGTTACCAGGATCAGGGCTTGGATACTTGTGTATGGGAGACGTGCGCTATCAACAAGGACGTTATGCAGCAGCCATTGCCATGTACGATCAAGGACTTCAAGCAGCACCTGAATCAGATCCATATTATCAGCAGCTTCATCAACAACGCGAGAAAGCAATGACCAACAACAACAGCAAACGCGTCGACTTTATCAGCAAGTTGCCATTGGATATTGTCATCACCAATATTGTACCAAGGATGGAACCAGTACTCACGTCAGCAATGTCATTCGCGCCTCTTGATGTATCACGTACGTGGCGGGAGCGTATCTTGAAGCACCCTAAGGGCTTACACTTTGGCTTTGATGAATTCCAATTCAATAGGGACAAAGAGCTGATTGTCCAGTTTGCGCCCTATATTCAGAGCTTAGCAGGATTAATGTTCGAGCTTCATTTGGATGATTTCTTTTCTGGATTACACCTTCCCAATCTTAAGAACCTAGCTATTTACTGTGAGTATGGATGTTATGTAGTACATATGTGACATGATTGATACGAATGACACTTATACTATGTAGGCCGTGGGGCCACGCCACGTCGTCCATTAATGAATGGTCTACAAATGGTGGCTGATTCGCTCACTCATTTGGACATTAAGGGTTGCCCTTATATCCAGTTACGTGACCTCGTGGAACCATGTCCGAACCTTGTATCTCTGATTGCAGCTGATGTGGAGCTTGTTATGCCTTCGTTGCCTTCGTCACGTTTTCCCAATATGTCGCATTTGTCACTTTACGAGATAGAGGAAACAGATCTCACGTACAACAACATGAATGATGTCCTCAGCCGGTTTCCTTCTTTGTTGTCATTGGAGATTACGCCTGAACCTGAATCTAGGGTGCTGACTCTTCTACATGAGCATTGTCCATATCTACAGGATTTTTTTTGTTGTTATCGCAGCGATGATATACACAATTACAATTACGATGTCCGTCCAAATCGAAAAGGGATCACTTCGGCTCATCTAGGAGGAGAATATGTACAAGACGACCTGATACAATTTCTACATCTGCACCGGCATACATTGGAAACGATTGTATTTGGCTGCTGTAATATTGATGATAACAATTGCTATTGGAAATTGGAGAATGGACACGTACTACAGGCGCATGGCCATCGTCGAGATATGCCTACAAGTTTACTCCCTGAAAATGATCCAACTCAAACGAAGACTACATTCACACGACTTGTCAATGTATCTTTTTCGGATGAAGATCCAACACCATCTCCTTGTTTTATGTCATGGTTGTTATCGAATGCGCCCAATCTCAAAACCATCGATCTCAATGAACCCTTTTTTCTGCCTGTTGTCTCAAATGCGCTGATCAATATGAGGCACCTTTCAAAGTTGGAAATTACCATGGTTGCGGGCACTGAAGAGTTTTACGATCCCATCATTTCGTTCATGAAGCATCATATTGCAATGGAGGATCGGTCAACGCTCGAAGAAATGATCCTGCAAATAGATAGTAGGAGTATGTATACAATAGGATGGCTAGGTTTGGTTTCTCAAATGAAGCGTCTCAAGCATTTAAAATTGGTCGCGAACGTCATTCCCAAATACTCCTTACGACTATTGGAGAACATTGGTCGAGATTGCCCCTCGCTTGAAAGCTTGACGGTCGGTACTATACAGGGATCCGATGTTACTGATGGCGTCATAAGGGCTTTGTGTCAACATCCCAAGCTTAAACGTCTCACGATTGGAACTAGATCAATATCAGCCGCCGACCTTTTCGCCTTGCCTACGTTTCCTAGTCTAGAACGTCTTCGTCTTCAAAAGAGTACTCCAGATTCGACCAAAGACATATTACGTCAATACATTCCAAAAGCCATTATTGAATAAAATCGCATACGCTTTCTTGCAAGTACATCTTTGCATAAAAAGTCTATCCCATTCATTCAGCAATCTTTCTCCCTTCCCTGTATGCTTCCAAGGTAAAGCCAATATTATCCTCATTGTGAAGCTCCTCCATCGTTTGATCCTCCCAAAATCACAATCCCCACAATAACATCCACATTAAGTCCATGATACCACCAACATCCAATCATAGCTCTCATGAGTCCCACAAGTAATCCCTTGAATGAAGCAGTTGTATTATCGATCTTGAATGTTGTAGCAATACAAAGAGGAGGTAACCAGGTCTATCTATAGATGGATGGATCATCTATGGCGGCCATTGCCTCAATGCTGCACGCGGTTACGGAATAGTGTCGACTACGAGGGTGCTGCTGATAAAAAACATGGAAATCGTGCATGTGCTCCCTTCAACCAGCAAGTCAAATCAGTCTCACTGCTCACCATCATCCAATTCACCATCCTCAGCATGACGATCGATTTGAATGGCCCCATTTACCTTGTCAATAAGCGGTTCACAAAGCTGCACCAATATCCAAGCATGATCCGAACGCTGATTTTCATCGCGTAGTCTTGCTGCTGTGGGATCCACTCATGCTGATACATGCTCTTGACGAAAATGGTTGCTTCACCATACATCCTTGTCATTGTATATCCACCAAGCGAGCTTACGAAAGTGATATCAATGAAGCGTCATCACCCATTATTTGCCTAAACGAGGATGGGCATATTAGAAAAAGATCCATCTACCAGCATGACAATCCATCCACTGTTTACCTTGATACGTAGATGCATTTGAATAAGAGTACTTGGACATGTTGCTATCCCAATCAATGTATCGAATCTATCTCACGTGATGCTCAATGCAAAGTGCTGCTGTTGAGAATAGAAGAGTATGCTGGATCCAGTCGTCAAGGCATGCTGCAACACATCGCGTGTAAAGGGTAGCTCGTATAATGCAATATGCTCGTATCCACTGGTAAGCTTGTCAAAGGTCGTAATGTGGAAGAAGCGATGCAGTTCTTGTAGAGGAGTTCTGGCAAGGGCGTTATTCAGTTGGCGTAATGTGTTGTGACATCTGTTGGAGAGAAGAGGTGGAATGTATCGATAAAGTGGCTGTTGTCAAGGTCATTGAAAGCGAGTGAACGAATGCGAGATGAAGGTAGTGGAGAGAAGAAAGTTGACCAAGTCCCCCCATGCCACGTCCGCCATTTTATCCTTAGCTAGTGCGGCAATCATGTGACACAAGCACATTCCGCTTAATACCATCCCATCCACAAGAAAAACGACATCCCTGCGTCGAATGATGAAGCCAAGTCGTGTACCATAGAGGTAAAATCATCTCATACTGTACCTGGAAGAATCCGTCGTATGATATTGTGGCGTGCCATCTTTTTGGTGAATACCTATGCACATGTACCGCATCTACTAGGCTGAAAAATCATTCATGCAGGGAGGACGGTCCAAGCCTACTCATTCTAAAGCTCATGCAAAGCATCATCACACCCATCATTTCTTTCAATACACACACTTTCTACAGCTTGCATTAGCATGGGATGCTTGATGATGATACGTTGTATTTTGAATAAACGTCAATACTGGATGACGCGTTGATTGGCATCGCTTATTAACACATATTCCCGTGGGCATCACTCATTGAGTGAATGGTCCCCTTGATCATTCCATGTATGTACACCTCCGTGATACGATTACAAGATCCATTCATCATCCTGGCTTTCGCATTGAGTAAAAGGAACAAAGTACAGCACCGCACATACAGGAGTGCAGCTTGCAAATGGGACGATGTAGGGTTTGTTTGCAGCTTTACTCACACCGCTTACAAGATTCAAATTGCATATTCACTAGAGGATAAACCTTAAGAATTGCCTTTTCAATGGCGAGACTTTCGCCACATACAGAAGAGGAAGGTGATTGCTGTTTCCATCGCTTCAAATAAGAGCCACTGCTCTGTAAAATCCATTACTGTTACGCATGCTTGCGGCTGGTAGATTTAGATAGCGCTTTAAACGACCTAGAAGCCGAGCACAACCCTCTAATGAAGCCTGCACTTTGACTTTTAGTGGCATTTGGTAAATGTACGTCATATGCAAAGTGGTGTGCATTATCGTTGCCATATCATTTGAGACTGCTATTACACACGCACCCCTGCCTAAACATAAGATACCACGGCAATATAAAAAGGATAGCGTTGAGGAGCATACAGCGCTCGTATCACTCAGCTACATATGTTAAACTTGAAGCTTTCCGTTTTTATTACCCTTGCCTTGTTTGCGCTTACGGTGTCATCTGCTCAGCAAGACTCTAAGACAACCAATGATTTGCCTACCGATAAAGAATGCTTGGTCTTTTGCAAAGATTTCCAGGACGATACTTTAGCCATGGTGCGATGTATAGGAAATTGCTTGGCTGGACAGTGATCAGCACTTTGATGTATCGGTAGTGAGGAATATTACATCTTACACCTCGCTCGACATGTATTTGGATCGCATGTAGTAATTGATCTTATCATTAAATCACTTGGCGTTATATCATCTTTCATATAATACATGTGTACTTTGTGTCGTGTGGTCGAGGATCAACATTGTAACACTAATTGTAAGAAATACATATGCATTCGATCCACGTGCTGTGTAATCGTCAATGCTAAAATGTAACGTGCTAGGCACTAATTAGATGGTGATGTTCCACCACTAATCAAATCTGAGGCATGAAAGCTTGTCATGCATGCATACATCATCTTCTGATTGGTTGCTGCAACCATGAAGTGTATACAAGCAGCATCGATTTGGTATACCGTAATCGTTTTGGTTGATGTGATGCGTTGGATAAGCATGATAAAGTGGAAGATAAAGTGCCTTGGGATGATGCCGTTTATTTGACGAACACGATATCTTCGAACCTCATGCATTCGCGTATGAGCTTACTGAACACCATCAACAACAATGTAACATTTACATCTTCTCAGCGTCATCAAATACGTGGTTTATTATTACAAAAGCTTTGATACTATAGAAAGGGATAAAAGTGATGTTGACGTCCAATCACATAAACTTATCTAAGAAATGTTGTGTACCAGATCAATGCGTGCACACAACCTCCACCGGCTTTTCCTTCGAGTTGTCCTCTCTACTTTGCTGCTCCCAATCGCACTCACACACCACGACCAATGACCGTTGTCGAGAACATTAGCTGGTCCGGATTACTGAAGAATACCAATCTCACAGCTGAACATGGTAATGACGGCAACCACATTGCCATGGCAACCGAGACTTTGAAGCAAGCAGCCCACCAATTCGCCCAAGTCCTTAATGAACGTGCCAGGCTTTTCGCCAACAGTGCTCAGTTTGATACAGCGTTACGTGATGCAGCAGCCATAAGAGCGCTATTACCGGGATCAGGGCTTGGGTATTTGTGTACAGGAGACGTGCACTGTCAACAAGGACGTTATGCAGCAGCCATTTCCATATACGACCAAGGGCTTGAAGCAGCACCCGAATCAGATCCATATTATCAGCAGCTTCAGCAACAACGCATGACAGCAGTATCCAACAACAGTAAACGCGTCGATTTTATCAGCCGGTTGCCATTGGATATCGTCATCACCAACATTGTACCAAGGATGGAGCGGCCAGTATACTTGGATTCTATTGTGCTGTATGAGCCTCTTTATGTATCACGTACATGGCAGGCCCGTTTTTTGCAGCGACCTAACGGCTTGGACTTTGACTTTGGCCAAGATGGGATCAATTTGAAGAGGGATCATGATCAACTTGTCCGGTTTGCGCCCTATGTTCGAAGCTTATCAGGAAGCCTATATGATGATAATTGCTTGGATGATCTCCTTTCTCGTGCACACTTTTCCAATCTCAAACGACTAGTATTGTATTGTAAGTATGATCGGCGTATATATATATAACGCGGATGAAATGGCTAATTTTGCTTTGTGTTATAGGTGATGCACCCCCTCATCGTGCATTGATAAAAGGCCTGCAATTGATTGGTGATTCACTGACGCACTTGGTCATTGAAGGATCCCCTATTGACGTTGGACTGCATGGTATTTTGGAATCATGCCCAAATCTTGTATCTTTGGATGTAGAGCGTGTGGAGGCTGCTATGTCATCACCGGTATCATCACGTTATCCCAAGATCACGCACCTGGCACTTGACGACCTACCAGATGGACCCCCAAGCCAAGATGATGTGATTGATATCCTCAGCCGGCTTCCTTCTTTATTGTCATTCCAGATTACGCCAATGCCCGGATCCGGTGTCTTGACTATTCTACATGAGCATTGCCCATATCTACAGAAGCTTGATTACGGCTATCCGAACGATGCGTCATTCAAATATCATTTACAAAAAATTGAACTCCATCCAAATCGAAAAGGGATCACGTCGGCTCATCTAGGATATGAAGGCTTTGATTATGTGCAAGATGACTTGATCCAATTTCTTCACCTGCACAGACATACATTGGAAACGATTCAATTTGGCTGTCGCTCTATCGATAGCAGCAATTGCCGTTGGAGGTTGCAGAACGGACACGTAGTATCTCAGGCACGTCATCATCGTCGATATTTACCTACAAGTTTGCTCCCTGAAAATGATCCAACTCAAACAAAGACTATATTCACACGACTTGTCAACGTTGATTTTTCGCTTTGTGATCCATCATCATCTTGTGGTTTTATGTTATGGCTGATATCGAATGGTCCCAATCTCAAAGCCATCCATCTCACTGAATCCCATTTTCTGCCCGATGTCTCAAATGCCATAATCAAGATGAGCAACCTTTCAAAGTTGGAAATTACCAAGATTGCGGGAACTGCCGAGTTTTACGACCCAATCATTTCGTTCATGCAGCATCATGTTGCAATGGAGGATCGGTCGACGCTCAAAGGCATCATCCTACACATAGACGATGGGGCTATGCATGCAGTAACATGGCTCAATTTGATATCTCGAATGAAGCATCTCAAGGATTTGAAATTGCTCACGGGCACCATTCCTGAAATTTCCTTACCAGCATTGGAGAAGATAGGTCAAGGCTGCTCCTCTCTAGAAAGCTTAACGCTTGGTGATACGTACTTCAGATACGTCTATTTTACTGATGGCGTCATAAAGTCTTTGTGTCAACATCCCAAGCTTAAATGTCTCACGATTAATGCCAAATCATTATCAGCCGCCGACTTTTTCGCCTTGTCCTCATTCCCTAGTTTAGAGCGGCTTCGCCTTTACTGTGATATTCCACCTTTAGCCAAAGACATGTTACGCAACCTTATTCCAAATGCCATTATTGTATAAACAATACACATCTCGCATGGGCTATACATCCTACAACTACATCTTTTCATAAACGTCAATCCCATTCGTTTTTGACAGCGTCTCCCTCCCCTTTAATCATCATGCACCTGTTACAAGATCATATAAAGTGTTTGTGTATAAGCTACATAAGACAGTGGATGGATATAGAATCTTTGAAACGCTCTGTAAAAAAGCGTGCTCGTTTGCGGATGGTGTTTTGAAGTCTTGCGTGAACGTCCAAATCTTAAATGGCCCCAAATCGGAGCGAGAGGATTACCCGACAACCAGCTTGTCGCCTTGACAACATTTCCTAGTTGACATACAACGGCTTTAACCTTCACTGTGATGTCCCAGATTATATTATGGAAATGCTACTTGAAGGTACACCCAAAGTCAACATTGATTAACTAGGCAATGCTTTCTCTTTTTATTGCATGATTGCTATACACCTTCCTCGGATACTGTAACACTTCAAGCACCTCCTGATTTTCATGCAAAAGACGTTTGAAACCCGACTCCATTGGTACCACCACCCTCTTTCGATGATTCACACGTTTGCACCCAACCAGCAAGATACCACAAAACTGTTTTCTGGTACAACGCGGCTGATTCACTTTCCTTGGAACGACGTCTCTCAACAACCCACACTTGCTGCCAATCGTCACCATTACGCCGCGTTAGTTTCAGATTCAACGACAAAGCTTCAGCAATGCATTCAAAGCCTACTCACCCTATTAAACGATCGTGCCATTGTCTTGACTCGTTGTGCCAACTTCGATGCTGCCCTTCGTGATGCAACTGCCATGCAAGAAATCTCGCCTTCGTCACCTCTTGGTTATTTACGTGCAGCCACTATTTACAGCGAACAAGGTAGACAACGAGCTGTCGTGGATGTTTGCAACAAGGGACTCAATGCTGTTCATATCAATGATCCTGGATACAGCAAGCTTGAAGAGGCCAAAATGGTTGCCATGCAACGTGACGCCTGTCTTCTTGACTTTGTCGGCCAACTCCCGCTTGATATTGTTATGGACGTGCTTTTCCCTATGCTTTTGGGCGATGATGGAATACTGGACAGCAAGAAGGGATGCCCTTATTTGGAAGTGTCAAAGACATGGCTCGACCGTGCCATTGAGACAGCTGGAGGAGGATTGCATTTCATTATACCCGACCAGTACTCCCTCGCCCAGGTTGTTCGATTTGCTCAGCACACAAAGACAATACACATTGAATTCTATTCTCAGGGAACATGGCTACCTCATTTATTATATCGTGCCAACCTATGCTCACTAGTGGAGATAAAGATTAAAGGTATATGGAAAACGGATGATGGTGTATGTTCTTCGATGACTTGGAATTAACTCAAAGGATTGATTAGGACTCGAGGATAGTATCAATGTGGGTCACCTTGTTTCGTCGTTGAGATCCGTCAGCAATACGTTGACTCGTTTGACTATTTGGAAATCGAACAACGGACCACTTTGGCCAAGAGGATGTTCTGCTCAACAACCCAAACGTAAACGACCTCTACCGGTAGCAGAAATATTAATCAATTGCCCCAACTTGATGATGCTGGATCTCGCCTATCAGTTCACCGCTGATTTCAGCGCTGTCCCATTGACGAAGACATGGCCACACCTTACAACTTTATATCTGAACCATTATGAAGGTGCCACTTTCGATGGTCAATTCTTGGAGATTTTGAAGCGGTTTCCCTCACTAAAGAGGCTTGTGCTGAATCCATGTATTGAACCCCAGCCCATGACAATGATCCATCGCTACTGCCCTTCCATGAGAGAGCTTCAACTCAAGATAAAACGCATACAATCATCTTCAGCACGACATGAACAACAACACGACGATCAGTGTATGAGAGGACGCGGTGGATTGAAGAAAATATGGATTTCAGAAGGTTCACAAAACGATGATGCTTGGATGGATATGCGCAAGGTGCTACAGCAACATCACAATACGCTTGTTCACCTCGAATTGAACTTGGATGATGCTGGCAACAATGATGATGGCGTTTTCAGCCTGGAATTTCCTTGTCTTAAAACACTCGCTCTTCGACGTCATTATTCGAACAATGTTTGCTTTGGGTGGTGGATTATGCGAAAGGCGCCGTTTCTTGAGGAATTGAGCATTACAGCAAATGTCATCAAATTGAGTCCTGGGCTACTCGGTTTCACACCACCACCTACTCTAAGAAAACTAGTGCTGGACCTTCGTCATGTAATTCGCGTGGATGAGACGACAGTGGTTGGACGATTTCTGGAACGCTTTTCTCAACAAAAGAAGGCGACTTCGTTAAAGGAGTTACAACTACGATTCCACAGCAGCGGTGATGTTACTCCTGATACCCTTGTTGCTTCCATCTGCCATTTGAATCAGCTTCAACATTTGTCTATATCTTATACCCTACTATGGGAGCAATGGGAAATGGATCATTTTACACAGATGCTTGTTGAAGGCTGCCCACACCTAATATCTCTTGAATTGAATGGGCGCAGACCTTTGTCTTGTTATGCAATGAACATTTTGAAACGCCTTCAACATTTCCGACGTCTCGCTTTTAACATTGTTTGATCAAGTTATCTTCCCGCCCATCATCCTTCCCTCATGCAACCCAATAAATCTCCCATGTCATGCTCTGTATCAATCATCAAGCTTTACTTTTTCTCTAAAGTGTATTGGTTTCCAATAAAACTATCCACACCTAGCATTATTCCAATATGGTCAAATGAGAATACAATAAATGCTGTGGCGTCTATCTTTTACCAAACTTTAAAGTACATCAGCATGGATGAAGAAATTTGATTATGATGCCCCTTATGAGAGCGAGGTGAAAGCATGCGTACATCATCGCAAAGCATGTATGACCCACATCATCCGAGTTTGTAATGTAACGTACCACGGCATAGGTAGTAGAACAAAAATGACACCTCCTAATAATCCCATGTCTTACAGGGTGCTTAAACTTTATTATACTCTGACCAAATACAGTACGCCATACATGATATACATGCTTATAGACCCAACTGCTTCCTCATCTATATAACCACTTCCACTGACAACCGGTGTTGTTTGTGCATGATGGTGATAAAGCTCATTTCCATCCCCTCTGAGTAGTTTTTACATACCCTATTCCTGCTCATTGACTCTTTGAATGATTCCATATCCCCTCCATATCCACCAGTTGCACTTTTCAAGATAACATAACGACGACTTTATCCACTTGACCTTGTCTATGTATTCGTAAAATGGTGATGTTGAGGGAATATTCGAAATGATGGGTAGCGAAGGGTGATCTGAGATAGGGTCGATGAAGCACCTCCATGTGCACGTGCCAGCACAATAGCATGACTGTCGCTGTGTCCTTTTGTCCCCAGGTCATCAACGTTTCCTTTGGCGATAGACTTGTCATGGCAGCGTATACCTTGTATCCCGTAGCACCTCTTTCCTTGCATGTAACATGGCAAATCACGCAATCTATACTCCCTGTCCTTGTTCAGTTGACATAATCCAATTGCCATCGTGCTCAAAGTTGCCGCCACATTCAAGAGAATGTCAAGCGTCCTCACTCTTCTCATCCATGCTTCATCCTCAGGTTGAGATGTCACGCGTTGGTGTGATAGTATCGATTTGCTCTTGATTACTGTTCCAGGTGTATCTTGATTGCCATACGTCTTAGCTGAAGTCGATCCTTCTCTGACATCGTAAAGCTCGTTTCCTCCAACGTCCAAGTAAATCATGCATCCCCTCCAGCAACTGCTCCTATTCGATGTTGAAGCCTCTTTAATATCATACGTCTACCGACATCCTAATCCATCCTGCAGTTTACCTTGATACGATGATGTAGCTGAATAAGAGAGATTGGATAGGATGCCATGCGGGTGATCAAATGTGTGTACCGAACCTGTCTCGCGTGATGGTCAATGTATGGCCCTGCTATCGAGAAAGGGTGTTATGTTGGATGCAGTCCTCAAAACATGCTGCAACGCAACGCGTGAAAAAGAGTAGCTCGTATAATGCAATGGTCATCTCCATGAGTAAGCTTGTCAAAAGTCGCCATCGGAAAGAAGCAATGCCGTTCTTGGGGTGTTTGTTGAGGCGTTCAGGCAAGTGAGTTATTCAGCTAGTGGAATGTGTTGTGTCATGTGCTGTTGACGAAAGAGATGTATCGAACAAGTGGTTGCTGCAAGTGCCATTGAGAGCGAGTGATGGAGTGAGACAGGTTGGCGTTGAGAAGAAGAATGCTCTAATTCCCACAGCACACGTCGGCTGTTTTTATCCCCCTCCACCAAAGTATGGTCACACAAGCACATCCCGCTAAACATCATCATCCCAAAGCATTCAAATACAAATAATGCCCGTGTGGATGAATGCTTGAAAGATTCAGTTGCTAATGAATTATGTGATGGTGCATAATCCCACTCCCCTGACTCGTATGTATACAGTATCTACCATCATCTTCTTGCATAATTTAAAGATGACGATGATGACGACGAAGAGATTGAAGGATCCGAATGTGACATGGAATGTATTAATGATCATACACATACTTTGAGGCACATCCATTCATTATTGGATGTTGTTTACTTACGTACCTTCACAAAAGGCAATCATCATCATCATCCATGAGTGCAGCAACCTGTCAAGGACGTGTTTGTGTAACCACCGCGTACCTTTTCACCCAGCTCTTCATCTTTCCGTTAATGCAGCCAACATCATCCACTAGGAAAAAGCAACTCCATCACGCTTACAGCATAGGTAAAACATAAAGGTGCCTGTATCTCCAAACTTTACAATGAAACGTGAGGTTTTTATTAGAGCAATGGGCTCGGCTTGGCCAACAGCACCTTATGTGAAAGTTTTACGTTCAATGTCGCAAACAGCCCAAAAAATATTTTTTGGTCGTCGTCGAAAAAAATTCAAGAGGTCGACCTCCAGATCCAGTTTGGCTGGTGGCGACATTGCGAAATCTGGGATTGGCAAGCTTGATCGTGAAACTTACACCCAAGGTGCAGTTGGCCAACCCGAGCACATTGCTCTATTCAAAACCCCACGTTTCATTGTAAAGTTTGGAGATACAGGCACGTTTATGTTTGTAAGCGTGATGCTATATGAAGAGTGGTCTTTGTTCATTGCCAGGTAGCTAGACCCTGGAGAGCCAAAGATGCAGAAGGACCTCTTTGGGTAACTCAGCTAAAAAGTCAGGACTTCAGGGACAATGCATGACAGGTACGCAACCCTCACTTTTATGTCATACATTGGCAGCTAATAGCCACTTTTGTGCATTCCCAACTTTTGTGCATTCTATTGTAGGTGGACGATGCTCCTGCTCCAGACATTCATTTCCATGATTAAAGTA